TCGAGGCATACACGATCCTGCCTTAGAGCAAAGTACAGAAAACATCTGCGTTTCAGACCTATTTCACCTTTCACTCTCTACTGAAAAAAAAACATTGAACGTGGAAAATTGTTTTACTTAGATTGGATTTTTTTTCCTTAAAACTATTTTATCTATTTCGGAAGGAGAACTTCTTAAAGATGAAAACTTAGTCTTCTGTGTCCAGGTGGGATAATACATTAAGTATGTTGTCTAGATTTTTAAATAAAAATTGTATACTTTTTTAACTGCTTTAAAAAAAATATGCTTTTTGTGTATTAATTATTTGCACTTATAACTGCGGGAGTTTATAATCAAATGTCTGTTTTCCAGCTAGAAGAGACTCAGGCATTCCACAAGAAGTTGAATAAAGATAAACTCTTACATCCTCCTGAGTTCGTTATTGAGCCTCGTTCCCACACTGTCTGGGAAAAGCAAAACGTGAAGTTCCATTGTTCCGTGGCTGGCTGGCCAGCGCCCCGTGTTACATGGTAAGTTTGTGTATCTAGCACTGGAAGCCACCACATAACCGATATCTGAAGTCATCTTGGTGAATGTGGTGTTTTTTCCGGAAAGATATAAGTTCAATAAGATGAATTGGGTACATAGGCCTGTCAAACACCTTTCAGGTCACCTTGTACAAAAAGAAAGCAAAATACTAAAAGGCAAAATAGTACTTAGTGTAACAACAATAGGAATACATAGATTTGGGTTTTTTTCATAAAGACATCCAATATATTCTTTGTGTCTGCTGGCAAAAGAAAAATAGTTCCATTTATCATCAGTATTACTCTTAAAATAAAGTTTTCCAAATACTTCCAAATACATTAGTCTACAAATGCCATTAATGTCCCTGAAGCATTAAAGCATGCTTTGGTTAAGACCTAGATGCTCAGTTGCTAAGCAGTTTTAGTACTGAATCTCCATGAAACTGAAATCTCATGATGCAGGGTGTTCATAGCAGACACATCGTAATTATTTGAAGTCAAAGACTGCAGATAGATCCAGGACCATCCAAATCTTTTGAAAGCTTTGGAGTCTATTGGAAACTTTCTGTTCACTTGAATGGTCTTTGGACTAAATCTTTACTGGAAGAACTCAAAATATATTCTTAGTCATAGCTGAAGGTCTAATTTGATTCTTGGGTTAAAGTTTACCCTGACTGAAATTGAATTTAGCTTTATTAACAGTGACTTATGAAGCTTAACTGTCTCACCATCTATTGAGCTGATCTTTCTTATCTTTCATGCTACACAGATACCATCAAGTTGTTAAGATAATGGGTAATAACTTTTTTAAAACATAAAATGAGATTTCATGCTCACTATTTAATTTAAAATATTATTTTAGAACGTATATATAAAATGTATGTATGTATTCATAAAATGAACAAAGAATAAGCCTGTGCTCAGCATTAAGCATTAATCAGGAGTAAGTCCTATGGAGAGTCTATTTGTGGAGACAACAGAAAACATCTGCTATATCATGATGTTAACAAATTCTAGACTTTGGAATTTCCTACTTGAATTGCTTAACAGACTGTGTTTATTTAGGTCTTAAAAACCTTAACCTCAGGGCTTGATCAAAAGTGCTACTAAGAGGTACATTAATAGGCCAGATTGGATGCCCATAAGTCATTCGACCTCTCTCCTTGACCATGACAACCAATAAGCCAGGCTCTGCACGGACACATTTTCGTGTCATGTAGGGGTTATGAGTGCCCTGTTTTGACTTTCCTCCTAGCGAGGATTCCAGACAAACCCTTCGGGTCTGGTCTCAGCTGGACACAAGGAATGGTCAGCTATGCTCATGGCTGTAATCCAGCTCTGTAACCTGAATCCTAACCAGGAATGTGAGAGCTGGGCCATTTTCACTTTGGTTGAGATTCACTTTATCCCAAAAACCTGACGTGGTTAAACCAAGCCTTCAGCTGTCTGCCTTTGCTCTCACTGTGAACCAGCCTTTCATCTAAGTGCTAAATGTGGATGGTGGAAATTAATACATCATTTTATCGTACATCTGAATTCCGAAGGGATCTCAGTTTGCCACAGGCTGTTATTGGAAAAAAAGAGTTCGCAGCCATTTCAGCAGGTGTCTTTGCTCTGAGATACAGAACAGTGCTGACCTGGATCCGTCAGCTTTCATTCAGCATTTCTAACGAAATGTCAGTCGTGTATTCCAGACAGTCATTCATTGTATAAGCAATGAAGACCTTTCCATACTGTGCCTGAAAAATGATAAAGCTGCATGCACTTTTCTCTAAAGAAAACCTTGCTGTCTGATGCAGCTGTTCTGACTCCCTTGGAAAAAGCATATGGAAAACCCAGGACATTTGAAACCAGTAGCAGAAAGCATAAACTATCAGTGCATAATGACAGTGGGCGGTTGCAGACCAACATTAACTAATGACTTGCCTGTTCTGGAATTTGTGTTTCCAGAAATAACAAGTGATCCTTCTAACACATGAGCCCTATTCTTTCCATAGATGAACAGAAATAAGTGAAAATTGACTCAATTATTTTTTACTAACCTGATAATGAAGACCAAAGAAGTGAAAGTCTTCTTGCTGCTGGCGTGGCTCAGTTAAAGCTTGTTTCTGCACAGCACTACATGCTACCAGACACCTCCGCTGCCAACAGGATCCAAGGGTTGCCCAGCCCTTTGGAGAAAGCTTAGAGATTATAGAGTCGAGTTCTGTTTCACAGGATTTCATATTCCCTGGAAAATATTAGGAAGTGATGGCATTATTCTGTTTTTCTAAACTGTTTGATGCACTACATGGAAAATAAAGATGCCCAGATGTTCCCAGGCAGATCGGTCTGGAGGGCACCATCGCACAGATGAGGTGAAGAGTGGTGGATTAAGTCCTACTGGAACCACGTATTACTCTTTGTTGTAAGTCAGGATAATGCAGTAGATCTGTCATGAGGTCAAACATCTCTGCAACTGTTTGAAGTCTAGAATAGAGAGTATTGCCCTGCACGGGATCCATTTTCGTAGCTTGCTGAGAGGACGATCAAGATGAAAAGTATTAGTGTTTATGATCCTTACACTGGGATTTTTCCAAGTGCCAAAGTGAGTATTACTGTGTCCAAGACACGCAGAAACTGATGTTCCATTTCAAACATCAAGCATTTGACCTTTTAAAGTATATAATTACACACTTCCATTTGTGACATACTGTTTCTTTGCTTTTCCATAGGTACAAAAACAATGTGCCCATAAACGTACAGACTCACCCTGGCAAGTATATCATTGAAAGTCGATATGGGCTGCACTCACTGGAGATTAGCACGTAAGGGAATACTAGATAATTTAACAAATAGCTTAAGATGAAATGTTGCTATGGATTGAGACATGCAAAATATGAACACATCTCTTGGGGATGCAAGAGATATCGTGTTTGTACAGCTGAGGTGGATGCTGTCTACTAAATGTTGAAGCAGTTCTGGTTTTCTTCAGTAGAGGATGTGTAATTTACTCAAGTGAGTAATTTATCTGGATTATTATTCTATTTATGGCTGAGTCAGAAACATGCGGGACATTTGTGATTACTTTTTCCATTTGTCTGCTGCATGAGTACAGTTAAACATGAGAAAAAAAATCTAGTTCAGGGTAAAAATGTGCTAACTGTTTTTCAAAGTTCCTGATTATTACTGCAATAAGGAACAGAACTGAGATGTCCTCACTTATACGCAAGAAAGATCTTTAAAGGTACTCATCCTCCAAATGGGAAATTTCTGCAGTCATTTTGCGTTAAAAAAAAACATTGAAAACATGAGACTTAATCATCTAATTTGACAATCAGCGACAATCTAGATCCTGGCAGGTGCCCTTTGAAAATATTTTCTACAGCTTCCACATTAGAAGGCAGTAAATTAGAGATAACTTAGATAAACATTATCAGGTTTTCCTACTTTTTCTGTATTCTTAATTTCAAATCTGTAAGTGATATTTGAAACATTTATTTTAAACATTGTATTTTTAATGTTGAGAAAAACTTCATGCTACAATCAGACCAGTGTCCAGTGTGTCTGTCTCCCAAGCTTTTACTTCTTTATAGATTTTACCCAGATTTCTGAGGGTTTATTTAGCTTAGAACATAGGAAAGGCTGTGCCAAGGGGTAAATGGGTGCCCTGCCTAATAATTTCTGTCATTTTAGATGCGATTTTGACGACATTGCTCAGTATCGGGCCTCTGCTATGAACGTTAAAGGAGAAATTTCAGCTTATGCTTCCCTCGTGGTAAAGAGTAGGTTTCCAAAATATTTTCTTCAGGTTTTTTTGTTACCATTACCATTTGGTATATTACCAATTTTGTGTTGTGTTCAGAGAGCCTTTATCTCTTGGTGACAGTGACTGGAGTTGTTCTTTTTCTGTCCAGGGTACAAAGGAGAAATCGATGCAAGTTCTTTGCATGCTGGAACTGTTTCCATGCCTCTGGGCTGTAAGTTGCAATGTATTTTTGTTTGATACATCCATTTACAGTTGTGACATCATGACAGATGACTAAGCAGACCATTTTGTAACACTATTTAAAAAGGAAGCAGGTCTGATTTGCAAAGGGACTGAGCTCTACAATTTCAGATGGTGTTAGCCTCACCTGTAGGGGAAAATGGCATTGCCTTCTGGGTCTGTCTGTGGCTATTTGCTTGTGTAGGAAACATCCTTTTAATATTGCACTTCACTGTGGAACAATATCTGTCGAAGAGACAGACACTTCATCTTTTGTGATACGTAAAACATGGCCTGGGAAAAAAAGCTAGGGGGTGCATGTGCATAAGTAGATTAGCTGACTTAATCGTTCTTGTCTGCTGCGATGCATTTCCCCACGCATTGTGAAAACGCGTAGAAAAGGTCAAACAGCCAGAACGCCATTTGAATATTTTGGATATATCAAGGTAAAAATTGTAGTTTGTTTTACCGAAGAACCTCACGTTTTGAAGTGATTTACAGTATTGCGTAGACCCTTTCATGATGTTAAGAAAATCCACCCACACACGCCATGTGGGTGAAGCGCCCTAGAGGCCATGGACGGTTTGACAGATGAGACTTAGGGACATTACATTTATTGTAGCAGCACAAATAGCATCAGAGACGCTGCAAAGGCATACTAGCTGGCATTTATCTGTCAAAGCTCTGAAATATTAGAAATAAGATTACTTACCACATTACAAAATGCAATGCAGCACATTTCCAATATAATTTGTGACTTATCACTTGGTTATAGGAAAGGAAGACGATGATCTGCATATGTTCATTGATCTCAGGAAGACTGAGAGCTACCAGCGTAGGGCAGGTGTGGAAAAGGAAAATGTGACCCCAGTTTTTATCAGCTGAGCTATTTTCAAAAGAAACATGGAAGCCGCTGTGCCATGTATGTGCAGTACAAGTGTAAGGCACTTGGGATATTCTGTCTGGAATACTGCACAACTTGGGTCACACAGCATTAAAAAAGATACATTCAGGAGCAAGTACAGAAACAGGCTACCTGAATGCCTGGGGGAATGAAGAGCTCATTTTATATTAAAAGCCCCCCCAAAAGGCTTATTTAACTTACAAAAGTGAAGGCTGAGTGCACACGTGACTGCCCTGAGATGAAGCAAGGAGTTAAAAGGGGGAAAGAGAAGAACTATATAATCTAAAGATCAGCTTGACCTGAACAAATCATTAGTCATAAATAGAAGTCTTTTTAAGTTACAGAACAAACCTTTTGATGAAATGATAAAGCGCTGGATCTGAAATGTTGGAAATTCTGGAATGAAATTTTGCAGGAGTGTCCCCCTGATAAAATGAACTAGCTGTAAGAACTAGAGTTGTATGAATAAAGAAATAGCTGATTCTCTGTGATAGTAAGGGTTTATATTATTTAACACTGCAATTACCTCGGAAGATGATGACTGAATATATATTGTTCCTATTTATACCTTAAAGTTTACCTGAGACCATATTCATAATCATAACGTACTTTTGCTTCCTACTCTTGTCACAAAAGGAATGAAAAAGGAAACAGCCAGATTTTTTTTCTCCCCTTATACAGTTGGCATTACCCCTCACGGCTATGCTTCCAGGTTTGAAATCAAATTTGTCGACACGTTTGATGTAGCCTTTGGGAGAGAAGGCGAGACAATGAGTCTGGGCTGCACAGTTGTCATCAATCCTGATATCAAGCGCTTCAAACCAGACATCGAATGGTACAGAAATGGTGAGAGTGTTTGACAAGAAGAAATAAAAATTTCTTGTATGTAAATCTTTGCTTATTTCAGCATATGTGAACGTTATGATTTGGTCATCACTTTCCATACTGTAATATTTTCTTTTTTCAATTAAAAGTTTTTCGAAATTTAGCATTTTGAAGTGGAACCACAGTTAGAAAACTGATGAAGCACTGTGAAAATATCTTCTAGGGATTTTTTCTTTCTTAAAAATACTTTTAAATTAGAAGCATTTCAATCAGCTCCGACATCTATGTGGCCCATCTACGTAGTCTACATAGCTTTTACTATTTATTTGTATGCCAAGACATTTCTTAAGTAGTTGCATAAATGTGCAACAGATGATAAAAAAGCTGTTCTTTCTTAAGTTACACTTTGAAAATGAAGACAAAATTGGCATGAGAGCAGAATCAACTGTAAATTATGATTGTGTTCAAAGACAGAAAGTTGCATAAAAAGAATGGTCTTTTATGTATTTCCAATCTATTCTAATATATTCTCCATATTCAGAATGTATTCCTCAGTAGATCCAGCTAGTTCTTACCATGAAATTCTCTAATTTCTAGGTGTTCTTATTACACCATCCAAATGGGTGCAGATGCACTGGACTGGGGAACGAGCTTCATTAACACTGACTCATGCAAACAAGGAAGATGAAGGTCTTTACACTCTACGAGTGGTGATGGGAGACTACTATGAAGAGTATAGCAGTTACGTCTTTGTTCGAGGTAAGATACTGTCTTTTGAATGAAACTGACTACAGAAATTATGAAAACATGCTGGCAAAATAAGTCTCAGATATTTGAGGTGCTTTTTTTTTTTCCTAATAAAAAGAGAATAATTATTTTCTATTAATAGATTCTAGCAATATAGCTTCCAGTTGTTATCTCTGGAAAAATTGAATGCCTATCTTACACTTTAGTGTAACATGCTAGAAGACTTACAAACCCCATCGGCATTCTGAGGAGGAAATTTAAAGTATTGAAGTAACTTCGCTACTCTTTCTCAATTTCAGCCTGTGAGGAGGACTGAACATGTCCTAAAGAAGAAATGTCTACATAATAACTTAAAAATGTGTTTTTGTAACTATCTCGCTGCTAGCTAAACTGCACTGTTTTGATCAAGATTTTGTGCCCCATTTGAAGGGTTCTCTCCAATGCATAATACAGGACAAATTACAGTGGAAGGGAAACAGAAAGATCTGCACCGGGGGAGGAATAACCTCATGCACCAGTATAGGCTGGGGGCTGACCTGCTGGAAGTGAGTCCAGTGCAGGACTGTGAAGGTGATTAAGGGCTTGGAGCTTCTCTCATGTGAGGAAAGGTTCAGAGAGCTGGGGCTCTTCAGCCTGGAGAGGAGAGGGCTTAGGGGCAGTTTATCCTTGTGTATAAATACCTGATGGAGGAGAGTAAAGAAGATGGAGCCAGGCTCTTTTCAGTGGTGCCCAGAGCCAGGACAAGAGGTAATGGACACAAATTAAAATATGGAAAAGCTCATTTAAACATAAGAAAACACTTTTTTTTTACTGCAAGGGTGGTTGAACACTGGACAGGATACCCAGACAGGCTGTGGAGTCTCCATCCTTAGAGACATCCAAAACCTGATTTGACATGGTCCTGGTCAACCAGCTCTAGCTGACCCTGCTTTGAGCTAGGGGTTGGACTAGGCTGTCTCTGGAGTTGTCTGCCAATCTCAGCCATTCTGTGACTCTCTAAAGAAAAGCAGCAAAGTGTAGAATTAAAAGGTAATTTCTCTGGGTGTTGTTTGCTTGTACCATGAAAAACTTCCTTGAATTTCTATTAGAGAAACATTTCTTTAAAAGGAGCCATGGCTATCAGGTTGTGTGCTGATTCTATATCTGTCCCAGCTGCTAAAAGCAGCTGAAGTGTGTAATGCTATTTGGAAAGGCTCTAGAAATTCTTGGCTCTGAGACCGTGCCCAAAATGGCACTGTGTTGCCAAGTCCAGCAGAGCTGTATGAGATAACAGCCTGCTCAGAAAATATGACTGAAGCAGATGTTTTCATCACCTGAAAGGAACATCTGTGGCAAGAAATAGGACTTGTCTTTCTTGCTTTATTTTAAATTGTGCTGCCATATAAATAAATGATCACCCTTGTTCCTGTTACAACTTCTAGCAATGCAGATATGACCTGACTGTGAACCCACTACCCCTTCCACCCGAGTATCTTATGAGCTATCAGTGCGTTTCTCAAATTCTAGTTAGATTAATTATATTCTACATTTCTGTTTAAATAGTCCCCACAGTCCCAGCTGGCTAGTATGTTCCTTACTGCTCCTCCGAAGTTGTAGACAAATTTGCTACAAATGGCTAGCTATGGTATTTAAGCACACACAGTTGTCTTTGTGTCACACAGAGAAATCCCTGTGTATCAATGGAAGTGAATGATGCACTACCAGGCTCATAACATTAGGTATTTAGACAGGCTTAGAGGGCATGTGTGACTCTACTGCCATGGCTACAGGTCGGCATTTGTCAGCAAGCCATCAGGGATGAAATCCTAGCCTCCCGGAGGCTGATCAGCAATGCTGGTTGTCCCAGCTATTTCCCAGTCTGTCTTGGAAAGAAGCTGTGGTATCCCATGTTCTGTCAAAAGGTAAATATGGGCAATTGAAACCTTTTGTACGGAGATCACTGAAGACATGTCGTTATTGCTTTTAATGTTATTATTATTTTATTAGGCTAACTGCATTGCTTACTCTGTACGTTACTGTTTTTAAAAATGCATCTAGTCAGCTGTGATTAGAACCTGGAGTCGGTGACTTTGGCACAGCTTCAAAACATCCATATGATGCTACTCTGCCTATAAGAGAAGACACTTTTTTCCTGAAAACTAATTTTACTTAATGAAGCATGTTAAATACTCTTATGAGGCATTTTTTTCCTGAAAGCCAAAACCATGAAAAATAGGGATTACTGTATGTTGTAATACAAAACCCAGTAATGCCTTGAAACATCAAACCTTTTTAAGAAGTCTGGGATTTAGATGGAGTGTATAAATAATATTTATCAGCAAAATATTTTTTTCTTTTGGTATATACATCTTTCTTGTTGAAGTCAGCTCTTCTTTTGAAGTAGTTCACAACAGGGCTTGAAAAGTGCTACATGTATCTGTGCAAATTGATGTTATTCTGCAGAGAAACAACCTCTCTTCTCTGAAAGTGTTTCATACAGTCTTCCTGGAAAGGTTATTTTTCTCTACATGAAAATTACCCCATCTCACAAATCAGACTGACTGTGTAAACAGTAAAATTCCCCAGTGCCCAGCACTATGCTCTGGTTTTTAAAGCTTTAGATAAGATGTGTCCAGAAGCTGACTCTGGAGTCAAGGCCTTTTGACACCAGCAGTCCCAGATTTGTGATAAACACTTGAAAGGAACAATATGCTCATCCTTATGAAGGTTATATTCCTTAACCTTATACATTAACGATAATGTATGTGTAATATAATTAAACTTCAAAAGGGTTTGTTATCTTTGCAGTTCACAGCTAACCAAAAACAAGCAATGAAGGACTGTGTGTGGAGATAAGATATTTAATTCAGTGTTGTATATCCAATGGGTGAATACTTTTGGTTGAGCTACTGCCTGGCTGTAAGGCAAAATATCAGCCTCTTCTCCTAAGTAGAATAGCAAGTAAATATACAGCCTGCCAAGTTTTTAGTTCATCTCTGTCTGTAGCAACTACCTAACCAGAATGTATGTTACTAATTTTATTTAAAATGTCTAGGTGAATTACATTTACAGTATGCTGCAACATATTAAGCATTTGTAAATGTGGCAAAGAGAAAACCAAAACCTAGAGAAACACAGACAATATAAAAACAAATGCTTTTTGATGTCAGAAATAGAACTTAAAAAACTTTCAGTCCGTAAAGATTAATGATTGTGAAAGAGCTGCGGCTCACATTTGGAAACGTGTCCCCATCCTCATAGACACCGATGCTGAAATCCCCGGAGCCCCTGGCGCACCGCTGGATGTGCAGTGCTTGGATGCCAACAAAGATTATGTCATCGTCTCCTGGAAGCAGCCCGCTGTCGATGGAGGAAACCCCATCCTTGGATATTTCATTGACAGGTCAGCGAGCATGCCAGGCTGGAGAATCTGTATTGCTGCTCATTCTAGTTTAAAAACCTAAAAGCACATTGAAAAGCATGAGATAAAATGGTCATTTGTTATTTTCATTCTTGTTGCGGGCCAGAAGAAAATTACTTTTTTTGTTTTAGATTGGCTGGGCCTGATCTAACTTTCATGGAAATAATTTCGTCCTGCTTCATTTAATTACATAGAAAGGATCCTGCAAGACACTGCGTAGCTCAGCCCTTGCTGCTCCCTGTGAGGCTTGAGAGGCCTCGGGACTTTGCAGCTTCTGGTAGCTTACAGGATCAGCTCCTTCATCAGGCAGCTGTGGCTCCTTCTGTATCAGTGGTCTCCTGCCTCTTCCCAGATAGTTACCATGTACCAGAAAGCAAAATATTATCTCAAAGGGATTTGGATTTCTTTCTGTTGTTTTCCAAGCTCTTAGATTCACAAGCTTCATGCAGCTCACGTTTCTGTGTTTTTCTCTGCAACAATAAGAGTTGAAAATAATTTTTACAAATGTTAAACCTGAATGTGTCACACAATGGCAGGATTCTAGAAGCCTGGGATTTAAGAAATTCAATCAGTATTTTGAGACTTGCAATGATTTTTCAGAGCTAGTAATATTTCTTTGAATTTCAATAACAGTACACATCAGTAGTACTATGGAGTGGTACTTATTCAAATGCATGTAAAAAACCCCCAAACATCATATATATATCTCTGTATAAAATACATGCCACTATATTATGCCATTGTATATACATAAATTATATGTGTAAAAAGAAAGTATTATTTTGTGAAGCATCAGTACGTTCAATTCAAATATAATTTTACTGGCTTGATAACTTGTAAGTGTCAGTTGCTGCTATAACTGTGCTGTGCTGGGTCTAAGCTACAACTCTTTAACACTCATTGAAAAATCCTAAATGAAAGACATGACTAGACTCTGAAAAATAATATCTGATTTTAAAACTAGGCTACAGAGGGATGTTAGCACTGAGAGTAACTGCAAGATAAATGGTGTTTTCCTTTTTCTCTTGGGTTCACCTCTTTTGTTCTACATTTGATCCTAAATTCAAAGCTGTGTTATTGCTCTTCAGTATTCAATCCCACTGAAGGTACTTAAGCACCCAGCTATTCAGCCAGGGTGGCCTCTAACTGCCTTCTAGAGTGAGCCCGATGTGCTACTGCTAGAGGAGAAGCTCAGGCATCCTTTGCCCCCAAGCAGAAACCAGAACCACAAAACCGCCCTGAATGAGACTGTAACGATTCCCAGAAAACAGATGCTCGTGTGTGCCAAGAAATCTGGGTAGGCACTGTTGACGTTCGCTTTGGCAGATATCTCACCAGCAATAGAGAGTTTTCCCAGAGCTGCCAGTTCATGTTACTGTTGACCATGTTGCTGGATGCTGGGAAGCCACCCCACAGGCTCCTCCTGGCTCCTGAGCCGAAGTTGCCGCGGTCCCTCCCTGCTGTTGGTTATCTCTTCCTTCTGCCAGAAACCAGCCTCCCGCCAGGCGTGAGGCTTCGCAGCGCTGGGACCGGCACCGCCCAGTCGGGCCCTGTTGCGGTGGCGGCAGCCACCCCATGGGCAGCCCCAGCGGTGTTCGCAGCAGCGTCCGGCTGAGCGCCCGACTTTAACGCCGTTCACAGCCGTCGGTGTGCTGGGCTGGTCACAGAACTCACAACGGAGGTCTCCACGCCCCACGAAGCCCGTCATTTTGCGGGATGTACAGTGGAGCACAGGGCACGAAAGACGAACTAGTCACCTTCCGGCAACTGCAAAAGATACGCGTATTTCATGCCCCTTCAAGTGCTGAAGCTCACCCTCCCTAAGCATGCTCTGGAGGGTTTAAACAGTGAAGTGCGTTCTGCTCGTGTCCCTTTCTCAGTTCAGGAAAGAAGGGGTGCAGCTGTAGGGATTTGGTGCATGCCCTGACCCCTTGGTGCCACTGCTTTGATGTCACCAGTGTATAACACTGCTGAGGAGACTCGTATGGACCACCCAAGGAACCTGAACAGATGGTGAAGGTGTAAAGGGGGCTGGGTTCCCCGAGTTTGCATTTTTCCCCTCCTAGCACTGCTCTTGCTGTTTGTATTTTTCAGATGTGAGGTTGGAACCACCCACTGGACCCAGTGCAATGAGACTCCTGTGAAGTTTGCTCGTTTTCCTGTCACTGGTCTGATTGAAGGCCGGTCCTACATTTTCCGAGTCCGAGCTGTGAACAAAGCTGGCATCAGCCTACCGTCCCGGGTGTCAGAGCCCGTGGCTGCTCTGGATCCTGCTGACAGAGCCAGGCTTAGAAGTAAGATGTGCTTTTTGCAGGTTGCCTGAGAGGTTTAAGAAGCCACAACTCATTTAAAAAAAAAGAAAGTATGACAGTGTGACTACCTACTCATAGGCCTTCGAAATCCCACTAGAGGGAGCAATGGAGAAACAAAATATTCTTTGGAGACAGCTTTGCCAGGAAGAAATCATCTCGGTGCTCTTTGCACAAAGTGCGCTCTCTGCTGAAATGGCTTTGGCTGGCTGCGGTGGTGTGCTCTGAATTTGCAGGAAGGGGGGAGAAGGCACAGGAGAGCTAATCGCCTAAAGAGACTTGCTTTTGTTCAGCCAACGAAACAGCTGAACAGATCCTGTGAATAGTCTCTGAGCCGCAGACAAGAGTGGCTGATTCTGTGCTGAAGTGCTGTTCAAAGCCTTGGAATAACATCAGCACAATACTAGGGTAGCCCAACAGATCCCAAGCTCTCTGCTTTAAAGTTAACAATTTACAAGTCAATGATATTTCTCCTGTGGCCTGGCAGTGTCCCAGACATTTTGCTTCCAAATCTACCTCTCCACCCATATGCCAAAATCTTATGCTTAAAATCCAATTATTTACACTCATTTCCAAAGTTTTACAATTTAAAATGGTCCAATGTGAAGGGGTATACAGGGCTCCCATGGTCCCAGCTTGTACGTCTTACTGTATATAATGCTGCAAGCTACTGACTGCGGTCAGATGATCAAGGTTCCCATTCAAAATAAAAACAAAAGGCTGGAGGGAAGAGGTTTGACACTGCCAGGAAATATTGTGCTCAGACAGACATGTGAAACCTGAAGTCTGGGGGAAGCCTCTTCTCCATGGGAAGTGTGGAAGCTGTCTCAGGAGATGAAGTGTGCTCTTGGTGGCCTATTCCCACGATATCTCCTCCTCTCATCCCTCATGATCCTCTTTTCTCCCCACCTGCTCCCGCTGTGCTCGCATCTCTAAAACAGATCAGCCAACGTGAAGTGAAGCACATGAAGGCGGAGAACAACATTTGCAAAAATTGTCTCTGAAAGTGCACTGATCTGATTGATAGCTGAATGCATAACAGCAGTAACATGATAACGCAGAGGCACTGAGGGAGCCACCCAAATCGTATCGAGTGGCTATGTTGAGTCAGGCTGAGCCATTTCTGTTTGTGATTGTGACCCATGATTTGAAAGCTGGTTATGCGAGGGAAAGCGGATAAAAAGAGACAAAGAGCAGCCTGCAGGAATTTGGCTGTTCCTTAAATGAGCGAGCTGTTAAAACAAATGGATAGAGCATGGAAACTACAGTTGAAGTTAATTCTCTGAAAATGGTGAACTGAGAGCGCCAAATACCTGTGCTCATCACCTAGGTGATTTTGGTGACATTTCAGGAAGGAATAGGTATTTCAGTGGATTACATTTTCTAGCTGTATTGATTGCTGAGCTGCTCTCAATATTCAAGCTGGTAAGCCTACAACTCGGTTGGGTACTAACTTGCTACATGAGCAACAGTCACAGCAGTAACCAAAAATGGAGCTCACGTGAATCTTGCAAATCTTAGTTTTGAACGACAAAAGAGTCTGTTTTCTCGTTATTTCAAAAGTTCCTGAAGTCTCCTGTTTCCATGATACCTCTGATATTTGTTTCAGGTCACCCTTCTGCTCCCTGGACTGGACAGATTATTGTCACTGAGGAAGAACCTGCAGGTAAACAGAGCTCTCTTGCCTACAGAAGTCTAACATGAAGCTGGCTGAGTAATTGGGAAAACTCCCAGTGAGCTCAGTGGACTTTGGCATGCACCCAAAGTTTGCTTGTTCTGAGAGTCACTCAACCTTGAATAACTCACAACCTGATTGTCAGGTGAGGTTGCATTATTCAGGACCTAACAAATAAATATGCTTAGGGTTAAAAGAAGGACATTTACAATCAATTTTTAGAAGACTTCAAAGTTTAAAAAAAAAAAAAAATCAGGTGCCAAGGTATGTTAATACTCTTTCTATATTTTAATTGTGGCACTAATTCTGATACAAATATGAAGGAGTTAAATCCTAATCCCCTTTCCTACTCTTCTCCCATGTTCTTCAGAGGGTGTTGTTCCTGGTCCACCTACAGACCTCCAAGTCATTGAAGCCACCAAGAACTATGTAGTGCTTAGCTGGAAACCTCCTGGTCAGCGGGGCCATGAGGGTATCATGTACTTTGTGGAAAAGGTAAAATTGGACAAAATCAGAAAGCTGTTGTGGCAATCTTTTAAATTTGTTTTACCATCTTTTCTGAACTTTTAGTTAACTTCCATTTCCACCTGAGACTTTCAAACTAGGACCCGGACTAGAACTTCATCAAGATAACTGTTACTGTAGATTAAGATAAACTAGGAAGAAAAAGATGGGAAACAGAAAAGTAGATGCAGAATGTGTCACACACTGTAATACCCTTTTATGAATTGTGGCCTACCCTGGAGTAGACAGGCTGACAAACTCCCCCTATAATGAGAAAACACAGAACAAAGTCACGTTTGGGTTTTTTTTATATATATGTATATAAAAATTATGTATTTTAATATATATATTCTTATATATAAAATAAAATTTCTATAAATGAAGCTTGTCTGGTGAGACAGATTTTTAACATTTCGGATGGAGATATTCTGCAAGAATTTCTTGGCATCAGCACTTTCTCCTCCAGCTGCCTTTTCATATTTATCCTCTACATTAACTTTCCATTTGCTTCACCAACTCAACAAAGATGAAAAAAAATCATTTTCTAGAGCAGAATCAGTTTTCATTTCAGTGTCCTGCTTTTCTGAGATGTTTTTGCATGGCTGCTAGCCTAGAAAATTCTTCATGCCATCACCCTTTTTACTTGTATCTCATGGCTCACAAACTTTTTTATCAATGCTTTTCCCTCTCAGTCTAGAGGTGTCATCAAGGGAGACAGAAATATCTTCCCATTATGTGTTTTTCATCTCTCTTGCAAAATCTGGTCTAAATAAATGCGTTTCACTTAGCAACAGACAGTGAGGAGGAATATTTGAATTTTGAGTTTCCATATAAGAAATCTTCTTAATAACCTATTGCATGCTGAGTACTAATGTCACATAGTCAGATAACACTCTCCTGAGAATTTGAAATCCTTCAGAAACGAGCCCCATTACTTGAAACTATCCTTAATGTAAATCACAGGCAAAAATTAATCACTAATTTTAATGGTATAAGTGATGATGGTACGTATAGCTTCTAGCCATAGAAATTAAAAAAACAATTCACAAATTAATTGCACATGCTAATTTTTTTCTGGAAAATGAAGGTCAGATCCTGATTAATTCTGGAAGTCACCCCAAAAACATTAAAATTGCCACAAGAGCATCTAAAAGCAATACGGTGTTAGAGTTCTGTGGATGATGTTGAATGTCTGCAGAACTTATTTTGAAAGTGGTCCAGGACTGGATGTGGTTACCAACATCACTTCCTTGTGGTGGAGAGGAGTTTAGCTTTCATATATTAAAACCAGTAAGCTTTTATGTACGATTTCTGGAGTAGGTGGACATCTGGCAGATTCATAAGCTTTGAAATATGCTCATTGTGTGGAAAGGCCCAAAAAAGGAATGTGACTCCCTGTTCTTCATAGCAGACGTGCATTTGGTGGCCTGGGTGGAAAGTCTTGTCAGGTTAGACTCTCAGCTTTTGGAGACTTTTGTTCCAAATGTGATTTCTGGGTTTGACTGCAGTGCGTTGCCGGCACAGAGGACTGGCAAAGGGTGAACACAGAGATCCCTGTGAAGTCTCCTCGCTTTGCAGTTTTTGATTTGGCTGAAGGCAAATCCTACTGCTTCCGAGTTCGCTGTTGCAATTCAGCTGGAATCGGTGAACCTTCAGAAGCAACCGAAGCCACTGTAGTGGACGACAAACTTGGTGAGTGTGTGGTCATATGTATAATATTAAATTACCTCCATGGTATCTTTTCAGTTTACAATATAATTGTTTTGTTCAAAGAGAGATAGCTGTCCAGTAAATAATTCAAGTATGAAAAGTAGTCAGTGATTTATTCCCTTTAGCCAAAATAATTTTGAGTTTTTGAACCTTTAATGTATAGCCAAATATCAGATTCAAACCAAGGGAATTAAGCTGTGAATAACGATGCCAAGAACTGCAAAGGCTGCAAATAGTGAAAGAAAATGAAAACTCAAGGAAGTACAAAAACGTTTTGTTTTACTTAAAGTCTTTATTGAAAATAAGCCCAGACATCAGCAGAGTTCAGCTTTCCTTGTTTGCCAAATTAAACGAAAGTGAAGAATTTAATACTTACATGAATGCAGAGACTATTTCCACTGGAAGAGGACCCAAGATGTTCACCACAGTAAAGCATCAGTAGCTACACCTACGTTAGCAATTTGTTTCCAAACAGCAATGCAGATTTCAATCCAATTCCCAGATTGTCTCTGTTTACTTCATATTGGTTGAGTTCTCAGAGCAGTTTGATGCACATGAACTGCATTCTTTAAGATGAGTAAAACAGCTCTTTTTGAAAAACATTTTAGATGTGTTTTGCTACTTAACAGGGGCATTGGTTTCTGACCTACGCTGTGGGCTGCACAAAATCTTCAACGTGCGCCCGACACATTTTACCTTTTAGAAAGCTTCAAATGGCATCTCTGGTGCAGATGCTCAGCACAAGGGAATAAACTATATCTAATTTGAATGAAATGCCCTAAATCATAGGCAATGGAGAAGTGAGGAACCTCACCACCGAAGTCTTGAACCTACTGATTCTGTTCTGTTGTGCCAGCTTACTTAATTTAAATCAGAGGGGTTTTTTGAGGATTAAATCTGTATTAGTCATGGTAATATAATCAAGAATAGAATGTCATCCTTATTTTATTTGTAAATTTTGACTGGTCACTAATTTATTTCTGTTCCTCTCACACAGATATTCCCAAAGCTCCTGGCCGTATTATGCCAACTAGGAATACAGATACCTCAGTTGTTGTCACTTGGACAGAGCCCCCAGATGCCAAGGAGCTAGTTGGGTACTACATTGAGTCAAGTGTAGTTGGGTCTGGTCGTTGGGAACCATGCAACAACAATCCAGTGAAAGGCACAAGGTAATGGATTTTAAAGAATGGAAATTTTCGATTTACTGAATGTATGTGCTTTACAGCCATTAGTAGTAGTAGAGTTAATTGTTCTGTGGTAGCCAGCAGACTGGAATCACTCTTGCAGGTGAAGATCATAAGATCACATATTTCAAACTGTGAGTCTTGTCCAAAAGGAATTTATGATCAACCTTGTGTTAGAAACAATTAGTCAAGGGCGAGGAAGCATGGACATTGCTAGTGAAGAAAAGAGAAGCAGCTCACTAGTTGTAGCTGTTGCACAGCCTGTTAGTTTGATGAAAAACAGTACAGCGAGGCATGACTGAAGTTACAAACGTGGAAAACTAAACTGCTTAATGTTTGGAAGCAAAGTCCTTTGTTTTGGAAGACTGCTGTAAACATTTCTGGACTATATCTAGAATGTCAGGAGGACACATGGGCTGTATCACACTAACGATGTTACTTTATAACTGCTCTTTCAGTTGCAATTATCAAGATGTTAGTGAACACTCTTAAATGTTGGGTATAAGCTCACATTTCTTACTGACATGAAGCTCAGTCTCTAGTCAGAAAAAATAATCAAGATTTAAAACTTTGGAAGCTAAATCAGATTTGATTTTGTTTGAATAAAGATGGAATCTTCAGAGGCTAAAGGAGTAATTGCAGAACTTGATCTCAAGTGGATTAATGTCAATCCAGAAGCAGTCCCCCCTTGTTATGACTGATTATGCTCATTTGTAATTGCTATCCATGACAACCGTTATTATAATAAGCAAGGCTCTATTAAATACTCTTGGACCAACTTTGTTGTTTAGAAGAGCATTGTAAGTGCTTAGTGTAACAGAAGTACATAAACCCCACTTCCTTGAACACAAGCACAATGATTTCAGTATTCTTTTGTGCATTTATATTGCAACAGCTGTATGTGCCAACATTATATACTTTTGTATGTACTGCTACACTTTATATTGTGGTTACATCAGGTGTTGGTGAAGTTTTGTGCTGTCTGCTTATTTTGAAGTATGAAGCATGATCTTTATTCACCATAGAAATGAAAATATTGTTCTAAGTTACTGTATATTTTGATATAACTACGCTGTTTAAGTTCCTACCAGTGCATTTTTAGTCAATGCAGTGCATGACGCAGTCAGGCACAGGCTGTCTGTTAACTCTTGGCGTTTCTGGTTGAGTCAATCCCAAAGCACTGGCTGCAGCTCACAGTTTGCATTATGCAGTATATTCTGATCTTCTGAAATTTGTTTTCTGCACGCATCCTGATGAAAGCAAAGGATTTGGAGAAGTCCAGTAGAATGGGTAGGGGAAATTCTGTTCTGAAAACTTTGGTTTAGGTTTTTTTCCCCCAAAATAAAATTTTGATTTTGAAATACATTTTATTTTCCACATTAGATTTGCTTCGTAGATCATCGCATGATGTCAGCATTGGTAGTGCATAACATTATGAAGTAGAACAAAATAGAAGTGACATGAAATAAAATACACTTAAAATACCTATTGAAAAATAAATGGTTTTTAAAATAAAATGTTTGGATTTCCAAAACGCAGTTTTTCCACAATAAATTATTCCTGTCTTAGGAAAATTTATGTTTTCAGGATGGACACCAGAGAAAATTTATGAGGCTTTTTATGTGATCATTAGGTAATCCAGCAGAAAAACCATTCCCATAAAGGAGTTTGTTTGACTTAGATTATTTCATCAGGTATAGAAGCAAGAAAGCGAAATAAAAAATCGGACACTTTTTTTTTTAGCTCTTGTACAATGCCCTGTAATATTTTTGAGCACTGCAATTTTTCGTTTATGATTGGAAGTGAATTGGAACATGTGCTACAGGTGTCTTTTGCTTATGTTATGAAGATATCCCACAAGCAAATATAGGCCTTATCTCTGCATATTTTCACATTGTTTCCATTAGGAAGTACGGATTTTAGATACTGGCAGAAGTAAGGTAGACCCTCTGGTAATACAAAAACTTGTGCAGTCTTGAGAAGGAAGGAGTGTGTGTAAACAATATGTCTGAAGAGACGTGGTTTTAGACGTTATCTTTGATGCGTGAATGTGGTGCTTAGATACACTCTGCATTGTCTGATCTTCATTTAAGTGACTGCGGTCATAGTTTCTCCTCAGTTTTCAGAAACCAGGATAAATTTTATGGAAGAAATGCTTTCTTTTCACCCTTCAGATTTTTATGTTCTTCATAATACTTTCTAAGTATTCCTTCACTGATTTGTTTTAGATTCATTTGCCATGGGCTCACCAATGGCGAGAAATATATTTTCAGAGTCAGAGCTGTTAATGCAGCAGGACTCAGTGAATTTTCACAGGATTCGGAGCCTATAGAAGTGCAAGCAGCCATTGGTAAGCTATTTTCCATTGCCCTTTTCAATGGTAAATATTTTTGGTTTTTAATGAAATAAAGATGTTTTCAGCAACTATTTGTAACTAATTGCTTTGTTTTACAACGCTGTCCACAAATAATAATTTATCCATAGATCCTATGGTGTCTCACAGACACAGTTTCACAGTCACTGCACTCTTGTAGACTGCTCATCGTCACCATCCAGTCTTCTTAGGTGTTTCTTGTGAACCGCTGTATGAGAGCACTGCCAAGTTCACTTCATAGGTATCCTGGAAAATGGAATGTCATTCTGATTCTGTAATGTGGTATTTATCACCTCTAATGCACACTATCCTATATACAGTCAGTTCCTAAGAAGTTTGTTTCCATACCTAAACCTAATAATCAGTGCAATGTGTCTTTTGTAAACCTTCTATAACCCTGCGTGTTCTCCCTTTGTTGATGGATTGTTTCTGTTTGCCACTGCCTGAACTAATCCATAATGATTAATGAGATCATTGGGCTACAATAAATTGTATGTCTGCAACATCCTCACTCTCATTTGTATCAAAACTGCATACCTCACAACCTTAGAGCAGAGAGATGTGGCCTAGGGCATTTTTGTGAGATCATCTTGAAAGGATCAGAAATATGACTTGGAAGATCTAATACTAGAATAATTGTAGCATATAAATATTGCTATTAACTTTTGATATTTCTTCTGCTCTGAAAAGCAGACATTATTAAAAGAGCATTACTTGTGAGCAGGTTGAGAGGTATTCTATGCATTTCAAATTTTTGTGAATTCAAGCTTAATATTTGGTGTGTAAAACCTGTGACTTGTCATACTTCGGCTGTATTGTTCACTGTGTGCATTTCTTCATTCTGTTGACTAAACGAAGAAAAAAAGAATGCATTCTAATTCAAAATGTCTTTGCTGTTTTCTGGCAATTATAGGGGGAGGATTGCTTCATGGTGTGTGTCCTGAACTGAGTGGTAAAGCTGGTGGACTAACAGACCGCACTACCAGCTGGGAAGGCATGCATGAGTCCTCCCAGCCTATCTTTGACACAGCTGCTTTGCTAAATTGCAATGCTAAGTTTAATAGAGACACGGTACCCAGTAGCTCTGACAAACTGGGGAGTACAGGAGACAATAATGTGAGAGAAATAGTTAAGGATGCTGTCACATCTGCACCACAAAGAGTTGCTGCTAAGCAGGCAAGTAAGTCTCGACCCGGAGATCTTTTGACACTGGAAAAAGTGACAAAGAAGAAAGATACAGGTGAGAGCTAATAAAATAAATAGATTTCACTGCTTTGGTACATCCACTTCAGATGGTCCACAAGTGAACGTGCTCTCCAGTGATGCATCATCTTCCATCAGACCCGTTCACTACGAGCTCAACTCTCTGTTAAGATCATCATGCATGTAACGGTATCGGAGACCACTTTACAAACTTAGTAGCTAATGAAAGTGAAACACATAAATCCATTTACTAATTCAAGAGCTTGTTTGACTACATATTAATGTATGCAAGATATTGTATTATTTCTAAATCACTTCAGTAATTTGTTAGGAGTCTTGTTACCTAATCTCTGGGTTATGTATGTGTGAAGGAAACAAAATCTGATTATGATCATAAGCATGAAAATCTGTGTTGTGTTAGGATATATGAAGATCTTTCGTGGATTTATGCCTAAGCTACAGCTTATCCTCTGAGACACAGTGCTAATGAATGTTGTCTTGTATCTCTGACTGGCAGCAATATGTAATGAGGAAAACCTATCAAGTTGAAGGCACAAAATCATGGTTTATGTTGTCAACACCTAAACGCTCATTGTGCCTGAGAAATGTGGGGCTTGAATTTTGTTTAAGTCCTGGTACTTGGCCAGTGAACTGAATTCCTCCATAGGCCTCTGAAGTGAGACTCAAAAGGCTTGTGCAAAGTGTTGAACAGAAAACAAAGTAAAGGTACCTGGGATTAGCTGACACTGATATAAAACACTAAAGACAAAAGGAAAACTATATGATGGAGGGTTTTCATCAAAAGTAGGACTTCAGAGTCACAAGTTGGGCTCTTCACAGGTGATCACATGTTGGGTGTGGACAAGCACACATAAGAAAATGGATTGGGATGAAGTTAATTATTTCCGTATTGTTAAAAAAAAATAAATTAAAAAGGGCATTATGCTACAAATTTTTTAATATAACTTCCAGTAACAGATATGTTCCATTTCTGGTCAGTCTACTGTGCCTATGATCATGCTTCCTTCCATTAAGGTAAGATCATGTGATGGGTGCAATGATAAAATTTGCACAGTGTAAAAATTTAAAAGAGGAAAAAAAAAGAATGAACAGATAAATTCCATTCTCAGAAGGGAAGAATGTGGGTCTATTTAAAAAAAACGTTTTGCTTTCAGCAAAAGAAAACAAATCATTGCATCTCCAATTTTTTTACTTTTCCTGTAATATTTTAGTTTTAGTTCCTCATTTTTCACAGCTTTAAAGCAAGTCTGGATCACTTACATCAGAGCTGCAATTGCAACACATTCTTTCACCACGTATCAGCTTGCTTCCCAAAAAATGTCTTGAAAACTAACTTCTATGCAGTTTGGACTTCTTCATTTGGTTTATGGGAGCTTTTATCCTGCGTTTCTTGTTCCAACACCAGAAACTTCCCTTGACCACATAAATATTGTCCCAATTAGGAAATGCAGGATGGGAGCCACCTGAATACAGTAATTGCCAGTCTGACTATTGAAATATTGCTTCCTACTTATGTATTATTCATGTTGAAACAGCTGCTCCATCTCCACCTTATGACATCATGGTACTTGAGAGTGTTCGTGACTCGATGGTGTTGGGATGGAAACAACCTAAAGTTGCTGGTGGAACTGAAATTACGGGCTACTACGTGAACTACCGTGAAGTGGTTGATGGAGTTCCTGGGAAATGGATGGAGGCCAACATTAAGGCCATTAGCGAGAGGGCATACAGGGTAAGAGGTTAACTTCTGTTATGGCTATGGGTGCAGATAATATTTCCAAAACAAATCTCAAAGACAGATTAGGATGAATTATGATTCAGTGTACAGATTGCTGTTCAGAGGGTTTTATATCCATGTTGATACATTTATTTAGTTCTGTTAAACTTATCTGCAAAATTATTTGTACACTTATCTGTTAGTCTGGCACTAACTGTCATCTGTGAAATCACTACTCTAGACACAGCCCAATTTTTTGTAAATCAGGCCCTCACAATAAATGGCATTCCTAGACATCCCCAGTGCTTGCTGGTGCTGGAACCAGCTCTGTGCCAGCTGCATTTTGTGACCAGTTCTTGACCCAATTTAGAGACAGTGCTAGCTATAACCTCGTTGAGCTGATTTACAAATGAAAAGCAATGCCAGGACTGAGTTTCACCCCACTGTGAGGACAACTCTTGCCTTAAGTGAACTTGCTCTGTATCACAAGACAGATTAATATGATTGTTGAGCAAAACCCTGCTCCCTCCCTGACTACCAAAGTGTCTATCAATAGGAAAAGGGGTTTACCATTTGAGTGTGCTAAGACCACTCATATGTGCTCCGTCACTGATTAGAGAAACAGCCAAGATAGTTACTGCCTTACGCATAGTGTCAATAACGCTTTCATCTCTTCAGGCACTTAAAAGCATGCTCACATCTTCAATAATTGACACTGTGACTTTGTTCTAAAGCCTTAATCCAAGGTTACTAAGTACCATCTTATTGATTCTGCAGATTCAAAACTTGAAGGAAAACATGGTGTACCAGTTCCAGGTGGCGGCTGCTAACCTGGCTGGGGTTGGGACACCTTCCCTACCCAGCCAGCCCTTCAAATGTGAAGAATGGACCATTGCTGTACCTGGTAGGATCCTGAGTGGGAGGTGGAGGTTACTCATAGCCCAAGGGTGCTCTGAGACTGATTATCTAAGTTCTCAATGCCTTCAGTTTCCAGGGAAGTCAACGGGCACTGAAGTTCATACTCAGGCTTGAATCTCCATCACTTTGATTTAGTACATTTACAATGACGCACTAAACAATCCCTGTTTAATCAGTAGCAATTTACAAGCAGCTTGTATTTTCTTTATCTTTCCTCCTTGGTTCCTGTACTGTGTCTGTCACTTTGCTTCCTAGTTGAAATGGTAGACATAAATACCTGTCTAAGGTACAAGGCAGAGAATAATGAGGTCCCGCAACCCTTGTCTACATGTATCACTTCAAGGCCAGAACGATGGCCTTTTAACACTCATTGAAACGAGTGAAAACAAACTCCATTGACTTCAGTAGACTTTAGAGCAGTCCTTGAAGCTGCACATCAGCTTAATAATTAACTTATTTCCCTGAGCTTGGAGATTATTTGTCAGTTTAGTTTGTTCATGAATATTTGATCAAGATACCAATCTCAACAAATTGGATTGTTTTTTGAGATAGTGTTTTTAGTAGGCATGGGTTGTATTTATATTAGGTCTAGATATGGCACAGAGAAGCTGCATGTTATGTCAGCTCTGGGTGTACAACATGGTGTCTGGTTTTGGTCTGAAGTCTTATGCATTAGCACCTTTTGGATTTATTCTGATATCACAACTCCAACTTTTACTCTTGCCTTTCAGGGCCACCCCATGATGTTGCATGCACAGAAGTTAGGAAGGACTCTGTGGTTTTACTGTGGAAGGAACCAGTTTATACTGGTCGTAGTCCCATATCTGGTTATTATGTTGATATGAAGGAGACTGAAGCAAAGGAGGAACGCTGGAGAAGTGTCAATGAGAAGCCACTTCAAAAGAAATTCTTGAAGGTAAATAGCCTAAGATTCAAATACTGCTATAACAGTATGACCTTGAGGAAGTCAGCTTTTGATAGCATCATCCGGTGCTGATCATGGTTCCATTTAATGAAATGCTTAGTAGGTTATATTGTGCCCAGGATACACACACGTGATGCCTGTATAGTCAGACAAGACAGTAACTCAGAAGAGAGTCTGCTATGACAAACCTAAAGATAAAAGAAAGCACCGCTAGAACAAAATGCCATCCTTGTAACACAGGGGGCATCCCTAGCATTTTCTGTCTCAAAGGGCAGGATAGGTATCACTACACAAAAACAGATGGCACAAAACCAGACGTTGTGCAGGTGGGTGTTTCTAATAAAAGGTACCCTCTCCTCACAATTCACAGCAAGTTAAACCCAAGCTTTTTGCAGTATTATGCTACATCATTTTGTGGAACGATTTCTAAATAAGGGACCAGCAGCATCTCAGTTCTAGAGGCAAGTCTGAAGTAGGTTTGCTATTTGTATGCTTTTCAGAATATTTGAAATACTTTAAAGTGTGATCCTTTCATATACATTTTAAAGGAGTATTCACATGTGTTATAATCTCAGTATGATTCCACAAGTCACTACAATTAAACCTGTACAATTAAATGCCCTCCTGTTTCTAAATAGGTGTGGCTGGCACTTGTTACCCGGATAATGTCATTTTTAAAAGCGAGAATTTACCTGCAGTAAAAGACTATGATGTTTCAGAGGTCAATGTACAAGGGTTAAAAACATCCTGTTCTAATAACAATGTTCCTTTTGCAAAGAAATCGATGACAGTAATGATGCTGTCTAAATGTTAGCTATGTGTACAAGGAAAGAGCAAGCCCTACAGATTAGTCATGTCACTCTGGAATTAAAAAAAAAAAAAAGGAAGAAATATTTGTCAACAGGAAAAGAAGCAAAACAAAAAAAGAAAGGAAATGTAATTATCAAGTGTGCAGACTGCTCTGTAATAACTGTGAAGTTAAAATCAATGTTTTGTAATACATCATGCATGTATATTTGCTTCTTCCAGATAGGTGGCCTAAACCAAGGTGTGAGCTATGTGTTTCGTGTGCGGGCAACAAACCAGGCTGGTGTTGGGAAACCATCAGATGTCACAGAACCTGTCATAGCTGAAACACGACCAGGTTTGTTAGAAATACTTCCAGTTCTTCATCACAGCTAAGCAAGTTCCTCTTTGTGCAATGTATTTACATACAGGCTGCATGCAAATAGTCCGACCCCTCTCAAGTCAAACTTTTTTACTAAGCAGGAAATGAGTTGAGGTTCATATCTTACCTAATGTGCCTGAGGAAAGGGTAAAAAATTGTTTTTTCCCTTGGCCTTTAAAATAAAGGCTTTAAAAATGTAATTAAGTCAGTTTGGAGACCACTTTCAGTAGGAATTCAAGTGCAACTGTTTGCTGGAGTCATCCTTGAAGGCTGGCTCTAATTTGTCTATAATGCCAGCAGTAAAAGTGGGAACCAGTGCAGAGGCAGAATCTCTGTACCTGGGACTTCAGAAAACCCCTGAGTTTTACTTAACTATCCAGGTAACATAGGTGACTTTGATCAGTCAACAGCTTTTTGTCACCAAGTGCCTAACAGAAAACACAAGCATGGGCTTGTGGCTGACTCACCTATAGACTACTTTAGAAGCAGAGGGTCCTACAAGGTGGAAAACCAAATGCCAGATACTTAACCAAATCTAGTATAAGGTTAGTATGATGTAAGAGGGTACAGGGGTACAGCCCAGCCTGGATCCACCATACACCCTCCTTTTCTCTGGCAAATTCCCTTCCTCCGCCTGCAGACTCTCATAGCTGATCCTACCTGGGAAGGTTTCTAAGAGCCCCAAAAGAACAGGAGTGAAGGCAGGCAGTGGGCAGGCAAGACAGCGCGGGGGTCTGGGGCAGCTGGGCACAGGGAGCACGAGTAGCAGTGCTAGGGGAGTAGGCAAAGGAGGTGACTGCCTGGGCAAACCTCTGCCTACCCTGCCTGGAGAAATAGTCGGGGTTTATTTGGGATGGTATTGACTGTGAAGTGTTGAGCAGACATCACCAGCAATCATCAGTTCCCATTCCCAGCCCGGCTCCCTCAGGAGCATTTTCCCAGGATCCTTTCCCTGTTTCTGACTCCCAGGTCCATTTTTATATCTCCTATTCCTGCAACAGCACTGGCCCAGCTCTCATAAATGCCTGGTCCTTATGACCAGGGCAGCAAAAATCCTAGGAATCCTTGAGTTAACTCTCAGTGAGGCTGTAAGTCAAGAAAGTCTGAAAAAGGAGGTCTGAAGCTGGGAGTGTAAAAAGAACTGGAAAACTCAGAGTGGGGAGACTGGGGCAACTGCTAGTGAGGCTGGGATGGGAAGAAGGGGCTGGAAGGAGTAGATGGTAAGGTGAGAGGGTGTAAGACTGGGATATGAGGACAGAAAATGAGAAGAGTGTAAGAAGGGTTTGGGACAGGATCTTTCAAAAATACAGTAGCCGTAATGTCAGATCTACAACCTGCTGAAGCACTAGGGCTATTTCCATCACCTGCAAGTGGAGCAAGGCAAAATGTAGAAACTTATTCTTAAAAGCAGCTTATACACAGCAATCACTTCTAAAAAGAGACTCAAATCAGTATTAGCACTAAACTTTTGGCTTTAGTAATCTTTGAGCGTTAATATCTACGTCAGACTTTTGATAAAACCTTGTTATGATAACAGTCTTCAAGGGTACTAAAACTCAATAACGTTTGGTCATGCCATTGCAATTAAAATGAAACATGAACATAAACTCTTGTGAAGATGATAATAATGACAAAAAAATTCATACAGCATTTTCAGTGCTCACTCAAATGAGGCACATGCCCACCTGGCCATATGAACTTGAGCAGAACATTCGATTTACAGACCTCACCGTTAGAGAAGGAGGTGCATCTCAGGATCATGGCCCTTTTGCAAGTGAGGCTCGGGTTCAGAGGTGTGATGTCTGAGGCATCACAGGAAACTCAAGGTTTGGCCCAGTGAAATCTCAAGGAAGCTGAAAATCATCTACTTGTACAAATCTGGTTGACCCATATTTTGAGTTGAGGTCTGCAGATACGGCATCCACCAAACTAAGCTTCTTAAAAGTATTAAGAAAGGACAAAAGGCGTATTGAAAAAAAATTGTTTCAGAAAGCAGTCTCTTGGGTAGGCTTCCACCTTTCTCACTCAAACCACACAAATCTCAGGAACAATCATACCATTTTTTAAAAATTACCACAAGTCTTTTGGTGTTGCACAATGAATGGTGTCTTTATTACCATCTTGGATGAAGACAAAATATTGTCAGGTCTTTCTGGGCAATTTTTTCTGGAATGCTGCTTTTGGCAAATGTGTAAAATCGCAAGACAACTGAGCTTTCTAATCAAAGAATGTAAGTAAATAATACCCTGAATGAAAATATTTGCCTTATACAAATGGTACCAATTGTCTTTATCCAGTGAAATGTGTAAATATAATGATGCGATATTTTGCATCCACCTTCTCTTGTTGGAAAACAGCATTTAATTTTTACAGTTATCTTCTAAAATTAAATGAAAAAGCCCACCCACATACATAAATACCAATCCAGGCTACTTCTGAGCTGTAATTTCATCTTTAGACAAAAGCACTGCAGTGCGTGTGGATCTCACAGGAAGCAGGGGAAATCCATGAGCAGACTGCAACTCTTCCCCATTGCTGCCCTTAGTCCTTGTGCATTTGGTGCAAAGTAAAATTAGATTCTGATCCTGCAGCCGTCACTTGAGAAGGGCTTGAACCTCAGAAATGAATGAAACCCTGTCCCATTCAACTTTTCTGACTATCTGCATTCAAAATGATGCCATTAACTCTAGTGTTTTGAAACTGCCTGCTTCATCTTCTTTTCAAGGCAATAAAACGCTCAGATAAATGGAAATTTGGTGTGACATCTAGGTATTTTATTTCTTATGATGACTTTAAGAGAAGCTCTGGATGATATGTTGAAACCACCAAGCTATCTAGAGGAGGGAAATTAAGACTGCTACTATTACAGCAGCCTCTTTGGTTCCATGTTGTAGGATAGGTGGAGACCTCTGGTCAGTAATTTTAAAAGATTTTTTTTTTTTTTTACTCAAATAAATATCAGAGGTAAACACCATCATTGTTTCTAGAAATAAATGCGACTCATTGTTATCATAGTGAGAATACTTTAAAACAAATGTAAAAGATTCTGTCCTTCAAAAGAACCTTCTGGCTGTAATTCTTCGCACATCACACAAACTTCCATCAAGAGATTCATATGTTAATGATGTACAGGAAACTAAACACTAACGAAATGTCAAGTGATGAATTTGCATATAATAAATTAGTTTATAAAAAATTTGCAGATACGCTGCTGCCTAGCAAAATATTTGTAGACCTTAGACTTCGTTCCTCATGTATTGGATTGGTACTTAATGTGCTTCATCACTGTGAGGGCCGGTCAATAACAGTAATGGGAATATTCATCTCATTTTTCATTAAATAGTTATGGCAAATTATAAAGACTAAGCGAGCTGCATGTACACAAATTGTCATTACAGGAGCTACTCACAATGCTGGAGAGGACACGTATAGTCTTAGGATGATGAAACAGAAATCTGCTTGTATGCTTGAGGCTCATTAAGAATTATGCTGAAAATAAAGCATTTAATCTCAATGTCAGGAACAAGGCTCTTGTCTTTAAGGTACAATACTTTGTGGAGAAAGCGTGTCATTAGCATTCTGGGCAGCCCAGAATTGTCTTAGGCCAAGTAATACAACATGAGTGCCCTATTCAGATGCCAAATCCAGCTCAGAGCTGTTCGGAAGAGGAGGCTGGATGTCCTCCAGCACCTCTCAGTGCACACGCTCTCCCTGACATTCTCAGACAAGTTGTTGAAATGAAAGTTAACGCCACAGATGACAACCTCGCCGAGCTGCCCGAACCCCAGCCAAAATTCACTCAGGTTCACTGGGGTGCGATGGGGCAGGGTTAGAGGTGCCTTTGGGTTTCTGACCTGGGATTCACCCCCAGGGCCTTTTAAGGACAAACTGGGTCACCTTACCCAGCTCAAGAACTGTAGGTACTGGCAAAACAGGGTGGGCGACTTAAGCGGCTAATTGCAACCATTCACTCCCTTTGTGGGCCCAGGATTAATGCTGCAGACGGCGGCAGGGCTGGATGCCAAGTGCAGCAATTAAACCAACCTCCCGGAGTGAAGCCAGCGCCACTGAAAAGGCGCCTCAGTTGCACAAGCGGGCACTGCTGGGGCAATTTGGCAGTTTCCTCTTCTGCCTCCTGCACCTCTTCAAAGACCCCCATTTGCAAACGGTATTCCCTTTAGAGCTCTTATCTTATTGAGGAGTAAGAAATTCATGCTGCATAATGAAAGCTCTGAATACATCTTACCATGGAAAATATTGCTATTTCATACTTCAAACTTTTAGTGTATTTAGAGGCTTGCTTTTTTTCTCCTTCAGGTTTTTCCAGAGCAAATATCATATCTCTTGTGTGTGCTCAGACTTGCTCAAATGATGTATGATGCTCTTTAATCTGTGGATTAGGATAAGAACTGTTCTTGTGAATCTAAGACCGAGGATGCCAATGTATGCAGCAATTTGTGCCAACTGAGAAAATGGCAAAGATCTGCTTAATCCACCCTGTGAATGATATCTATATAAATTTGTTTGCTGGCATCTCTGAGAAAGTGGAATTGCCTTGTTCTGCTCTTTCAGGAACCAAGGAAGTGGTGGTTGATGTGGATGACAATGGAGTAATTTCTTTGAACTTTCAATGTGATGAGATGTCTCCAAACTCTAAGTTTGTTTGGTCCAAGAATTATGAACCAATTGAGGATGACTCTCGACTGAACATCGACACCAAAGGCGGAAAGTAAGAACCCTTGGGGGAAGCAATAGTCTTGTTTTTGGGAGATTTAGACTGGTCACAGAAATCCCTCCTTTTGGATGTACGGCCTCAGTAAGATTCACATCTGCCTCTGTTACTGGAAGGCTACTTCATGAGTATGATGTTCCCCAGAAGTCCACACGCAGACCATTTGGAAATTGTAGCTTGCACAGAATGAGTCAGACCTCCTGTTTAGGCAATTTAGTTATGTTTATGCATCGGGCAAGAAAATCTGTGCTCTGTCATAACCTGGCAATTCCTATTATTTCTATTGTTATATTATTTTAAATCTCCAAAGGATAAAATTACCTGGCTGCTTACAAAATGCTTTTGCCATGTAACATTGCTGCAATCTTTGGAGGTGCTGGAGTACGCAGGATGCTCTTCTGATGGCATCACCACGGCCTGGTTTGGTAACTTCTGTAATGCTGTACAAGCTACTCTGTTTCTTCAGGCTTTTAACGGAGAGGAAGAAATGGTAAATGCACAGGCTCAGCCTATGAAGTGCCTATGTTCTCTTCAAGTTATAGAAACCATACAGAAAGAAACAGTGGCTCACCACACTCATGGTATTGCATATGAAAATTGAATCAGCCGGTACTTAAGTATCCTTCCACACTCATCAAAGACTTGGCAATGTGTTTTTAAGCGTGCTTGTGCTAGGTTAAACTAGCTATCTCCGGTGCTTTTGGCACTATCTGAGAGTGTGCCATCTCCACTTGTGCCACATGTGGTAGGACCTACCCTGCTTTATACTGGCCAGAGCCCCGCGTTTGCCTGTTCCGTCAGAGCAAAAGCTAACAAAAGATTATTTTTATCTGATGTTATAGACATAAAGGAGGGGTTTGGTTCAGACTGATCTCATCTTTTTATGAAAATGTTGGGTTTTTTTCCCCTAAAGGTCGAAAGCTACCTTTAAGGATCTTGGAGAAGATGATTTGGGAATTTACTCTTGTGTTGTTACAGACACTGATGGAGTTTCATCAAGCCACACAATTGACGAGGAAGGTAGACACCGTGTCTATTAAGCATGCCTGTTTTGCTTTCACATCCCTGCTGCTGTGTCTCTCAGATCCATGAGGCATGCACACCTTACAGTATTTCTTTTATGTCTTCTGCAGAAATGAAACGCCTGCTTGCTTTGAGCCATGAACGCAAATTCCCAAGTAAGTGAATCAAAGGTGTCTGTAGGGGAGAGTTTTGCATGCGGTGGGGTATCACAAAGCTCCTGCAACCATCAGGTAGGGAAGTCGTTATAGTGATTTCAAGTGAAAGTGGTTTTGAATTGAAAATCTAAGATTCCTTTTTTTTTTTCTCTTTCTTTCCAGTATATTTGTGTATTACCGATGTTCTTCCTAATCTGTTGAAGCCTACTGGTCTAGGCATATAAGTATATATAACAGTTGGAAAATAAGTATCCAATTGGCTTTGTTTCTTCTGCAGAACAGCCTTTTATACTTACCCAGCATACCTAACCTGATTTGAAAACCAGAATTTGAAAAATTCTCTAACTTTACTCCAACTGAAGTTAACATAAGTTAAATTTGTTAACAAAGCAGGCAACTGTAGTAAATTCAGCTATAATGATCTATACAGAAAGAATTTCCCTGCTGATATTCATTCGCTCCCTCTTTCCTGTAACACTTGACAATATGAACATCCTTCCTGTTGCTTGGGTTGGTATTTTTGTCAACTCCACAGACCTTCCATACCTTTGTGATATCCTGGTAGTAGTACAACTTGGTTATTTTCATTGAAATGTGACTTGTATAATTGGGGAAAAAAAATAATATTGGTTTGTATAATGAATCCTATCACACACAACAAGACGAGACCTAAACCTGGTCTCATCTGCTCCCATTACATTCTCTCCTTTTTCGTTCCAGGAACTAAAACTCTTGCCTATGGGCATGCACTGGTGACACCTCTGCCAACACAGCCCACATTGTGCCTCTCAGCCCAATCAAAACTTGGCTGCAGAACTGGCCTGTCTTTTTTTCCCCATCATTTATCTTTCTCATTTCCTTCTGTGTCTTTTCTGTATCAGCTTTACTCTTCTGAACATATTGTATGACCTTTTGACAGCTTAATGACAGCCCAGACATCCCCTTGTTTACTCCTGCTCCTCCCAATTCTTTCCTCCTAATTACATCTTCATGCTGAAAGTTAGTCATCACAAACCTTACTGTTGTCACGTGTCCTTACTTGCCCTGACCCTTCTCTTTTAAGTGCTCTTCCACGCACTGTGTTCATAAGTGATGTCACAAAATAAGCTCCTCAGGACACAGATCGTGCCATCTTTTTTGTATTAGGCATTTGTATTTTTTATTAGGTAACAGTACACTTCTAATTATGCATGAGCTTCCAGGAGGCGCAGGCAAAAAAAGGAGATCGGGAGATCACTGCAGAACGTACCCTTAAGGAGGAAACTGTCTTGCTTGCTTTGGCCACTCTGGGCCCTGTGGATGCTAAAAAAAATAATATTACAAATAAGGATTGAGATTCATTTCCCTATGCCTATGAGGCTAGAAAAATAGTAATAAGCTCCTGTGGATCAACATGAAACCTTAGTCATATCTCCACATAATCTGTTTGAGGATTACCCAAATTCTTAAAAACAAAAAAATTAGTTGCTAGGCATTTCCGATTCAACACGAGCTCTTGCATGTTGCTTTGTTCGTAGTCCTGAACTGCATTTAATTGTAACTTCTGCTTAGAAACATCTGAAGCCAGTAACTCCATGGGAAAATGGGTTCCTTGAATAACACAGCCTTACAGAACGCAACTACATAGTGTACTGGTTCTAGGTAAAAATAAATTGTTCCAACTCTTCACTGTAGCAACTGCCCGAGGACTCCCTGTCAAGTGCTTGCAGTACTTTGTGATGCTATACAAATAGGATGTAAAAACCTTGTAAGCACGATAGCTGGAAAATGACTAAAGTAGCTGTCAGTTGGTGCTTATGGAAATATTTTAAAATAAGACTTTTGCTCGTGGAGGACTGTAATGCAGACTCATCCGGTTCCTTTGGGCTGAGGAGTGAATGGCCTTTTCCCAAAGAGGAATCCCTTTGCATCCTTTCAGCCCTTTATTTAACAGCTTCTGAGATACCTTCCTGTCTTCTGTGCTAGACTAAGATATGCATAGTTAATTATGTGGAAATCAAGCGAAGGTTTAAAATTGCCATAGAGCTGACCGAGACAAAAGCAGGGCAGTCTGATGTCTGTTCACACTCTCTTTCTCTGGCTTCCACTGGCTTCTGCAGCATTTCAGTTGCTTTGGTTTGAGAAATTATGCAAGACCTGAGATTCCTTCTGTTTCTTACAAGCAAAGTGGTGTGCTGGGTGAGGAAGCTTCACTCAGACCATTTGCATTGCTGGGGCACACTCCTGTGGGGTTGTTCTTTGCGTTGCTCCCTCGTGGTAACATCGGCTCTCCAGGCTTTCCTCTCTCTGGTTAAGCCTGTGCTTTTTCATAATCCTCTTTTTTTCCTCTGACTGTTGCCTCGCCTCCCAGAAGCCTTATTTTCACCCGAGGCAGGCACCAAAAGCAGACCTGCGGGTGTGGGAGGGCGTAGGTGCAGGGAAGGGGAGAGCGTGGGAAAGGAAGATGTCGGGGGTCCTCACCCCCTGACTTTGTTTGGCAGCTCTGCTCCACAAGGCACCCCAGTCATTTAGGAGAAACATGAAAGAAATTAGGCACTACCTCAGTCCCAGTCCTCTCCTGCTGTAGCTGGGCCTTCGCATACATAGAATTAAAGAAACAAACCTGCCTTGGGATTTCTTGGGGTGAGTGCTTACAAAAATCTCCCAGCCTGCATCTCAGCAACCGACTCTCTGATCTCGCTTCGTGGTTGGGGTTTTTTTGAGTTTTTTTCTACTGAGTCAGTTCACTGTCTAACAGTAATATTGTCAGGCAAGTCACTAAACATGGGGCTGCGCCATACAGATTCACATCATGCTGCAGAGATACTTGCAGGTTGCCTTCGAAACAGCCTTATATTAGAACGGAGCATAACTCGAACCCAGAACACTTCCAGTCTGTACAGGCCTAGTGACTGAAGGATCAAAAGACTAAATCTTGTCTGTCATCCTGTGTAGATGTGGGTGGAGAGGCACTCATAAGCTAGTCACCTTGCAGACAGTATCCAAGTATGAAAGGAAGAAGTGTCTTTCTGATTGCAGAAGAAATCAGTTGTTGGGGTACAGGCTAAGAGTATGTGCTTCATTCTTTTCTTTCTTCTTTGTAGCTGTCCCACTTGCCTCAGAGTTGGCGGTGGAAATTTTGGAAAAAGGAGAAGTGAGATTCTGGTTGCAAGCTGAAAAACTGTCTGGCAATGCAAAAGCCAACTTTGTATTTAACGATAAGGAGATTTTCAATGGAGAGGTAAGCCTTTTCTTTGCTTGCATGTGTTTGCATTTTTATAAGTATCAATGAGCATTAATGTCTCTGTCTCCAATATACTTGCAACTAGCGTTCCACATTAATGCATTTTCATGAGAAATAACATGTAATTGAAAGCGTCATTAGAAAATCTTGTCCATAGTTCTGAGGTCCAAGTGGATTCTGCTGGATGCAGTTTATAAAGTGGAGTTAAATGACTTCCTGTGAGTGTGACTCCCGACCTTTGTGAGTACCACGCGTTCTGTTAACTAGTGGGGACCATAGGAGTTCCTGCGATAAGGTAGTCCCAGATAAACAGCTACTGTGGTCTTCTAGGAGTCACTGCAGTAGCCCGGATTCATCCTATCTCCTTCCTCTATGGCCCTAGCATTCCCTTGTGCTTGTTTTGTAGAAATTTATTATGCCAAGGAAAAATTCCCTTGTGGTTGTTTCCAGCACCAGAACTTGTTACTCCCAGAGACATGACATGGCATGTTTTTGTTGCAACACTGATATCAAGTAGAAGGCAGAGATGGAACATTCTACACAAAACCGTATAAAAATGAGATCATTCTCAAAGAAAGCGTTATTCTGAAGAGGTGCAAATCTAAATCTTTCTAATGAAAAAGTATTTAAGTACAACAGGCATGTCACATGCTAGTATAGCATGAATGAATAGGCTTCCCCGTTAACAGATTTCTTATTTATTTGGTTGTATGTTTAGAGCTGGATCTAGAGATACTGGGAATCTGAATAAGTGGGAATCTGAATAAATAAAACAGAATTTCACCAAAGGATACCATATAATATTTGACAAATATTTTCTGAATCTGATATCCATTACTTGTTGCTTTACTTTCCATTCCTGAAGAAATATAAAATGAAGGTGGACCAGAAGACTGGCCTTGTTGAAATGGTTATGGATAAACTTGAGGACAAGGATGAAGGGACTTACACTTTCCAACTGCAGGATGGAAAAGCAACCAATCAGTCCAGCCTTGTCCTCATTGGTGATGGTAAGCTAATCTATATTACGTAGCAGGCTGGAAAATTTATATTGAGGTTACTTCAGCTGTCATCTTCACTTTCCACTGTTTTCAATACCAATAGATGTTCCAGTGGTTTTTCAAGTCACAATCCTTGCCTGCCTCATATGGGACAGGGCACGAGTGTGAACTGAAGTTTTTGAAGTGCTGGGAGGAAGGGGAATTGTTATAGAACTGTAAAATATTGAAGCCTGTTATGGTTTGGTTTTCTACGGGTGGAATGAATGTAAAAAGCCCATTCATCCAGGAACAAGTAGCTGCACCTCTTAGAGCTCGAGCGGCTTGCTGACTGTGCTGCTGCTCATTTGCCTTCCTACTGAGAGCAGAAAGTAGCTGTATGGTTGGGGATTATGCCTCATCAGACATGACACATTAAACTCCTGATGACTGCAAGCCGCTAGGAAAGTTGGGTTAGCTGTAATCAGCTTCTGACACTTTGAAATGTTCAGTGAAAACCTGACCCTGTGGCAGGATTCTCACTGACATCCAAGGAAGAGAGATGCACCTGACTGTTACAGTGACATTCAGTACCGTACAAATGGCACACGATGTTTAACCTTGTGTTTCTTGCTGGTTTTAATTCCCAGTATTCAAGAAGCTGAAGGATGAAGCAGATTTCCAGAAAAAAGAGTGGCACAGGAAACAAGGTGATACTATGGATATTTATAAGAATCACATGTGTGTTAGTCTGTTAAGAGTTTGTTTATATTTATATATGTTAATTTGAAATGGATGGGGTTTGTTCTGTTGTATGGGTGCTTACCTTCTGAAGGAGAAAGAGGAAAAATAAAATCACATTAAAAGACAACAGTATTCTTGTCAAGAAAAAAACCTTTGTATTTGGTTTTGTATCATGAGTATCATTGATGTGACCTTTAAAAATGTACCTGTAATTTTAAACAGGTCCTCATTTTGTGGATAAACTGGGATGGGAAGTTACTGATGACTGTAACGTGATGTTGAAATGCAAGGTAAGGGGGAAGGGAAATGTTGAGTACAATGCTCAAAGCACTTTGATCTGCCACTACTTAGACAGCGAGAGTGGGAAGGGATGAAAGATGTGCCCTCTGCTTTTGTACTCCTAACTGCATGTTGGATAGCAACAGAGCCTCTGAAGGCTAATCATGCTGGGGTGACTGCTCGTTGCATGTAACAAAACACCTTGGAAAACAGCTTGAACTCTTTTCTTCAGGTCTGTCAGCCACTCACGCAGAAAAAGGCACCCAAATAGGAACAACATCTTTGTGAATCCTGAGACTTTCTCATTTTTGGCCGGTTTATGTGTGCAGAAATCCCCTGAGCAGGATTCACTTGTTCCCTGGGCTCCTTGAAGCTGTTGGGAGTCCTTTTCTCTCTCTTTTCATCCCTGCTGTTTTCCCTCTTGCATCCCCCATTTTAAAATGGAGGCCTGCAATAACTCACTGTGATCAAGCTGTAAAGCTTGCTGTTCTCTTACGAGAGACTTGAACAGGCTAACCCATGTGACGTTAAGTTCCCCTCCTCAAATGAAGAGAGTAATTACGATGTGGTTTTCATCCATCTTAGGTGGCTAATATTAAGAAGGAAACACACATTGTGTGGTACAAAGATGACAGAGAGATAATGGTAGATGAAGAACACGACTTTAAAGATGGCGTGTGTACTCTGCTGATATCAGAGGTGAGTGACTGTCCCTGTTAGCCCTCAGCTGAAATTAGTGTTATGACTTCAGATGAATGATACGATCTAACCTGATATTTTAGCAGAGCAAACAAAAAAGGAAGTGGGTTTTAAAAACGGAAAAACTCACGAGGCATCTGTGTTTTAGCTAAAGCAAATGTCTATCTATAACTGCTCGTTCAGATTTTCAGGAAATGATGACAGAAGAGATAATAAGCTTGTCACTTCCTTTGCATGTCAGTTTGACAACAGAATGAGACTGCATTTACGTTTCTAATGACATTTGGAAAGCACTTGTCACTCAGGCTTTCAGAGGGCCACCCTCTCTGAGCCACCAGAGAGATCTGGTCCGTACCCAGCCTTCCTGCAGACACAGCGGTGACCTGCATTCACCACTTCATGGCTTTGCTCTCAGTTCTTGGCTGAGCAAGGCAACAATTGCCAGGGCTCCCTAGGCTAGGGGCTCCCCCACGGCTGCAGGCCAGGACCCCCAGCCAAGGCCCATCCCACCACCCCAGCCAGGAGCAGGGCAGCCATGGGGGCACTGGGGCAGCCCCAGCCCTGGGCATTGGGCACCTCCCTGGGGATGGGACATCAGCTTGGTTCAGGAATGAAATCGAGATTTTTCTACAGTAACTGTTCTGAAAACTGGTTTTGCTGTTACAACATTGCAGTTTTCTAAGAAAGATGCTGGCACTTATGAAGTCATACTGAAGGACGACAGAGGAAAGGACTCCAGTGAGCTAAAGCTGAAGGACACAGGTCAGAGCCGCTTTCTGCATGCCGTCAGCCACCCCAGCTGACAGCCTGACTGCTCACTCGCAAGCACGTTTGGGGTAATACAGACAATGCACGTGTCACCTTCCTGTGGCTTTGTTCCTCCTGTATACAAGATCACCTCTTTAGAGAAACTGAGATTTTTCAGTTCAAATAATGTTTGCTTATTGCATCTGGATTCTGCATAATTTTGGGGAGAATATGATGACTAACTCCAAGCAAAATGATAACAGGTTTCCTCAGGGGGCCGTCAGTAGTGTAAGTCTACAAGTATAGAAAGAAATTATAGAACCAGACAATTTTAAATGATTTCACATTTTTATTATGTTTTGCCATTCATTCATTTATTTAGGGGCCTTTACAATAATTGTGATCACTATATTTTTTAAATGTCACTTATGTTTCCAAGCAAGTGGAGAAAACTCCTATCTATTAGAATGTATATAGATGGGTTAGCATTCCAACTGAATAGTGTCATTTACAGGGGACAAAAAAAAAAGATGTAGTTTTGTTCAGCTGCAGCAATATTCAACAAGGCTGCAGTTAAATAAAGTCTGGAAATCATGGAATAACAGGCTATATTTCTGCATTACTTAGATTTCTAATATGCTTTATAAAGTAGGTTCAATTTGTTTTTCAAACCTACTGGGGAGAATATTTCAGAGACAGTACTTGTCCTATTATTGACTGTGCTTGAGCTGCAGACATAGAGTCTTAGTCTCTGGATTTTATTTCCACAGCTTTTGCGGATCTGATGAATGAAGTATGCAGAAGGATTGGTAAGCACTTAATTCTCTTTTCGAATGAATGACTCATTGTTACACTCAGTGAATGTCTGCATGGCTGCATAAAACCATGTGTTCTTCTTTCAGCTTTATCTGCAACAGACCTGAAAATCCAGAGCACAGCTGAGGGTATCAGACTGTACTCCTATGTTACTTACTATGTGGAAGATCTGAGAGTAGGCTGGCTGCACAAGTAAGTACACAAAAGCTTTGCAAATGTCAGTGCAATTTTGTTTTTATAGACTCAGAACCCCCGGATATGAGAGATGAGGCCCAGGTTTCTTCTTATCTCTTATGAGTCCTTCTCTCATAGGCATTGGTTTCAGTGAACAAATCCATGTGAAACCAGGACGAGAGTCCTGTTGGTGGTGCAGGGCCCTCATTTCCCTTGTGAGAGAGATAGTCCCATGCCATGGGATGCTGTCAGGGCTGTGCTGCTTCAGAGTGCTTCCCACCTCCCGGATGGGAGCTGCATCTTTCCCTGAATCAGTTTTAATGAGTGATACTAACATAACCTGAAAGACCAACAAGGAGTAAAAGAGGCCAGCACCACGAGTTCAGAGATACCTAGCCTGGAGGTCTGCTTGTCTAGAAGCTACAGTTCACGAGAACTGGGACAAGCAGGCACGTCCTCTTAACGCATGGGTTCATGTTTAGGAGGCAAAGCAAGTCCCAGCGTGTGCCCGGGGCAGTAAAATCCAGACAGCACTTCCAGTGAGCACTACAAACCTAACCAAGACAGATAGAAGAACTGAGATTTTAAAAAATAATTTGAATGCCCAGCTCCCCATAAAATTAATGGGAGTTGCATATCCAAATCCATGAGACAGCTTTGAATCCTCAGCCAGCGCGAAGAGCGTGCACTGGAAAACCCAGAGAAGGAAACAACTTAGATCACTTCAACTCTATTATTACTATTCTTGCTGTTTCACTTCCTGTAGTTAGTCTTTAGGATGGAATTTGAACAACTGGTCTCTCAATAACACTCAAGTAAATGAGGCCCAGAATAGCCAGGATGTGCTGTAGCCGTCTGGCTGTAATTATTGACACTGATGCTAACCAGCAACCCTGTCAGAGAAATGAAAGCAGTTTGAAGTTTTCCTGTTTCCTGGCACCCATTTTGACCTGGTATCGCCAGGAGTCCTAAGTATTTCAAAACTGTAAGCGAATATGAAGTATTGAATTTCTCTCTATTTGTTTCTTTCTCTCTCTTTCTCTATTTAATTATTAGAAATTAGTTTCATCTTAAAGCACATCAAATTAATCTAGAAAAAATGCTCATCATCCATCCAGTATATTTGAAGTTATCAGTTTAAAGATAAAAAGAAAATTAGCTTATTTGACAAATATTTTTTGCCTCATCCAGGGCAATTAACTGCTTAGCTAGGAAGATGAGAAATTGATATTTTTTGTGGAAGAAGAAACACTTATGTCAAAGTTTGCTTTATGTTTAACTGTTAACGTTAAAGCATAACAGAACATCAGAAAACATTCCAACTGGGCAAACACCATTTGTGACAAGTGTGGGTTTTTTGTAGGTACAGCCCTGTATAGTTTTGTTTTGCACAAGCAGAAATAAACCTATGCTGGAAAGAGAACATGAGGATGCGTGGATTACCCTTCAGAGACCAGGCTTTTAAATTTGTATAAGTCTTCTATGGCTCAGGGCATAGACTAAGATGCATAAGCTTTCTGCAAGATTTGAGGAGGGCTATACCTTGAACAGGGAAAGACCATCATACCAGTTCTGCCCAGTTGGCCCACAGCTTTAGCAAGAATTCGACTTCAAAAGTTTCAAAACATGGTGGCATACAATAGCACCCTGGAAATAATTTAGAAACTGCAGATGTCCTCAATGACTTGACACGAGCAATTTATACTCCAGTAAAACAAAAGAGTAACACTGTTTTGTGTTTTTCAGCGATACCCAGATTAGGTTTACAGACCGAGTGAAGACTGGTGTTACTGGGGAGCAGATCTGGTTGCAGATCAATGAACCGACTCCACAGGACAAAGGCAAATACACAATGGAACTCTTTGACGGTAAAACAGGACACAAAAAGATGGTGGATCTTTCTGGACAAGGTAGGCCATTCCCTCTGCTAACACCACCTGTACGGGGCGCTCCACTGCGGCAGGGTAGGAGCACCTACAGCAGGATCTTGCTACAGACCTGTTACCCTTTGGGTTGTAGGGCCTGTGTGTGTATCCAGCAGGGACAGTGCAATTAGTTTTCCCCAACCTGTGCTCTTGGTTCGTAAATTATGAATGGCTTTTTCCTATTTCAAGCTCCAGTTTGCTTACTGAGACATCAGCCCAGTTTCTGAGCCATCTTACAAACCCCCTTGTGTGGCTGGCATTGATTGGCAGTTTTAAATACAAGTTGTAACACTGAATGCCTTCTGTGTCTCCCCATTCCAAGTAATATCTGGAGGAGGAAGTGAGGGACAAGTTTGTTCTGTTACTTTCCTACTCTGTTTCTTTGACTGATATAATAGGGCTCCTTATTCTTCAGAGATGTCAAGACCTTTCATCAGCATGATGAAGGACTGTTAGGGGAACAGCTAAAATTATTTGGATTGACTGTTGGAAGCTTTTACTCTGAAAGACCTCTCAGATCCTAGGGAACAGATTAACTCCTTCCAAACTGCTGAGTTTCCATCCCCAGCTGTTCCCACCCCTAAAGCTTCACTTTGGGTCTGCAAGCTCTGTGCAAGGGCAATAACCTTATAATCACTTCCATGTTGCTCCTTCTGTACTCTATCTCCACCCTCTGAGAAAAGAGATTTCTTCTTCCCTTTCAAAGGGGGAAGAGTTTGATGTCCCACATGATGGTAGCTTAGCCTGAATTTACAAAGGAGACAATAGTTTGCTGTTTGGTTTGTTCACAGCCATGAGTGTGATGCTTCGGAGCAGATGTGAAAAGTATGGGGAAAAAACCAGATCTCTTGTATTCCATAAGCCAGTGGTCTCCAGTGGGGTGTGTGCAAGATGATCTCCTGGGATGTGAGAAGAAAATATGAGAACTTCAGTAGTACATATACATAATTTATAAATAAATATACATATATTGGGGGTGCACGCTCAAAAAATTTTTCAATAGAGCTGTACCATCAAAAAAGTTTGGGAGACTACTGCCATAAGCTATCATTTAGAGGGTGTAGTGTGGGTTTCTTCCTCTGTTCCGTGAAACTATTTCAGCCTATTACTCTCCTGCTATCTTTGTCTTAAACCCTGACTTTTAGAAGAAAAAAAATTTGGTTATGCATTCATGTGTATTTATAATAGCTGCATTATACAAAATGGCCATTATTAGTTGAACCACTCAGCATTTTAGGGCTTATACAATATACATGCATGCATCTATTAATATTTCTTTAATTATATCTAAATTTTAAATTTATTTTCTACATTTTAAATTTAAACTTGTGATGATTAATCTCTGAACCTACCTTTAAAATCAACTTTTCTCTTTACAAAGCATTTGATGAAGCCTTTGCTGAGTTCCAGAGATTAAAGTAAGTATTATGTCATCTAAACACAGTAATGGCAGCCACAAAATAACAACAGTATTTGTTTGTTTTGTGCTGGACCTAACTATATCCTATAAAACAAATCCTAGTCCTACAGAAGCCTGTAGGAGTTTTGCATGTGACTCCTTTGGTGTAATTCTTGTGTAACAGTTAGGAACGAAGAAAAAGCAGTGTTGTCAAACGATGCGAGAGATTTTCCTTAGCAGATTAAAAGCAGTTAAAAAGATAAGCTATTTTTCAATCACTCTAAGTAAACCTGAACTGAAATTGGACTCTCTGTTTCTTTCAACTCTAGGCAAGCTGCAATTGCAGAGAAAAGTAAGTGGGCCTTCTTTGATAATGGTTGCAATAAATGGTTTATGAAGGTTTTCTTCATTCTTCCTCTCCAGGAAGGTTGTGTGTTGGGGAAGAGAGGGCACGTATATGTGTGTATGTGTATGTGCTCATCCTAAAACGAGTTTGTCCTTACACCAAGGAGAAGCAAGGAGAGTGACCTTTTAGTGCTGTAACATAGGTGCACACCAAGTTATGTTGATTTTTCCCATCTAAGCTCCCGTTCTCATTACCAGTTAGCCTTCTCTAAAAATTAGCTTTATTGCTGAGATCTCTCATGCGTGTTCTCTGCACAAAACCCACTTTGTTTTCAAAGACAGAGGAAATAACTTGGCTAGTTTTCAATCTAAAATGTCAAATGACTTTGCATTACATACAGAAATGGTTAAGAAAGCAACAGTGGCTGCATTGCTTAAAGACAGATCCCTGAATGTCCTCATACTTTTGCCTGTGTGTCAATTCCAATATAGCAACTAAAACAAAAGTATGTATTAATTACTTCAGAAGTAAGTAATTACAATTCAACCTGCATTATTAAGCTCAATATTCTCCTTATTTACAGAAAAATTCATGTAAAAAATATAACACATCAAAAAATTCTCCCACTGCAGATGACTCTCAGACCTGTATAGAAATAAGGGCAGAACTGGCATTTGAAAAATTATTGGAGAAAAACGTGCAGGGAGATCTGAGCTAACTTCTCCTGGACGTATACTCTAAATAGAGCAGGGCTTGGATATGTACCGTGATCCCTACTGCTCCAGCTGAGACAGCTCAAAGGGATAAGTAATAGCGCTGCCTTGGGCATTTCTTTTCTAACCCTAGACCGTCCACAAGGGGCTGGTGTGTTAATTGACGTAACACAGCCCCGTTCTGGTCTCATTAGGTTGTTATCTCTGTGCTCCAGAGCACATCTTTTACGGAACGCATTCGAGAGGAACATTCTGTATAGTCATTTCCTTCCTCTGCCAGGCTCCGCCAAGACGTAACGAACAAAATCCATATTCCAGAATAAGTACACCAAAGCCCACATGTGATAAACTTATTTGTATTCGTGTAAGATACCTATCCGATTCTGAGCTTAAAACTAGACCAGTTATCGATCTCATTTACGCCCAGCTATGTACAAAGCCGTGGAATTTCATTCCTGTCACTGAGACTGAAGTCTGTCTCTGTATTTAGATTAAAACCTCATCTCCCCCACTTCATTAAGGTAGCATTCATTTCCTTTTGGAAACACAAAGGTTTTAGTTTACGACACTAAAAATTTAGAGCCCCAGCTCTCAAAAATTCAGATTTTTTTTTTTTTTGGTGCACTCAGAAGTAACACTGAATTGATGGCAAAATCTGCAGGACACAGCACATGTGCTTTAATTTCCCCTCTGTAAGTGATTGACACCAGCTATTAACACATCTTTTGCTGTGAATTCAACTTTTTTTTTTGAGTCCAAATGGGGTGCTAAGAATGCTGAATAGTTCTCTGCTAGAACAGATTATAAGAGGCAAGTTGTACATAAGTAAGATAAAAAGAAAGAACTAGAGGGGAAACAGAATCTGGGACACACTTGATTTTGAGACACTAAAGAAAATTACGCTTATTTATTTCCAGATCGTGCACGGGTACTTGGAGGTTTGCCCGATGTTGTCACCATCCAAGAGGGCAAGGTACAGTAAATTAACTGAAGCTTTACACAACAACCCAACAGCTTGAACGTCTTTCAATGATGGGAAAATATTCACTTTTTTTTTTTAAAGATGCCATCTTTAAAATCTGCTACATTATTTATTCATCCCCTGCCTGCTGTACATAATTCAACTGTCTTGCACAGATGGGTTTATGTATTCAGGGCAGTGTCTTTTCTTAAGCATTAGATAAAAGTGAGTCGACAATGTGAGTTGAGACTAAAATGCCTTATATAATCGGCTCTTTAAAAAATTCATGCACAGGTTTCACAGATTTTTTGGTAACAGGGTCTCAGGGAAATTTAATTCCTTTCTACAAGAGAGCTAGTCATTCTCTGTCTTTTGCAGTTTACTTCCTTGCAATGTGGCAAGATAGCCACACCTGTCAAGGCTGGCTTTTAAATGGTGTAAAAGTAGTAAACCATAATAACTCAATTCTCGTCCAGACAAAAGAAGAAAGTTTTCTCTAATTCATCAGGGTAAATGAGAAGGAAGTGAAAAGAAGTCACTGGTGTTACACTGGATTATATTAGCAGAGTTTGGCTGAAAGAGTAAGGCGCTCCCAGAGGAACACGGCTACATCAGTGCTTGAGCACAGAACAGATGACCCAGAAAGTCAGTTCTCAGTCTCACAACCTTTTCCCAGCACACAGCTTCTACAAGTTGCTGCTTAATAGTACTGAGACCAAGAAGTGCCTGCTCTTCCCTTCCCGCTGGTCTGCCACTAGCCAGTTCCTCTTTACAGCGCGTGTGAACGTTGAAATAGGGCACATGAACGTCACTGGAAACCTGTAACATGACAGCTATAGTAAGGCAGCTTCCTGATATTTCTGGCTTTATCTGGCAGTAGGTCAGCTGGGTTAAAAGTATTTGATTATAAGCTGAGCTGAAGTGTTAAGAATCTAAAATCTTGGTCTGAATCACTTAATGCAAGCTATAGCATAGCCAAGAGAGAGTAAACTGCAGCAGTCCTGGGAAAATTGAGTATGTTGGCATTAAAAAATAAAACAACATTTGATTAAACCTTTCCTTAAAAGACTTACCAGTTTGGGAAATGCTGCAGAAGTAAGAAGCACTCATACAAACACTGTAACTGTAGGTAGAAGACACAAAGTAACAGAGTGAATTTGCAGATTCTCAGCTAATACTGCTTGTGCTTGGAGACAAGATTCCCATACTCATTTGGCAAGGGATAAATGTTTTTTACCACTTTTAAGCTTTTTGTAAATGAGAGTTGATATGAAGTTGAGTATGAGCTCACTAAAGCAAAACGTGTAGTGTTTATAAAAAAGGAGTTTGTAAAAAATGAGCTGCAAAATCTTACCCAGACACACATTGTCCTTGATAGCAAGGACATTTGTAATGTTTGAATAAGTGTCTGAAAAACTCCCAGAACTCAGGACAAATATCCTTGACCTTATGTTTCTGGATTCAGTAGATAATTGTTTTGAGAAACGGAGTAGGACGGAGAGAGATCAGGGAAAACAGTGCTTGTTTGGGTGGTGTTGGCTCATCTGTCTGTTGTTTGCATATACGCTGGAGAGAGGGGAATGAGAGGGGAATGCAGTTCTCTGTTGGGTAATTAACGCAAATTGCACAATCATCAAGGATTTTGAAAAACAGTAAATGAGATAGCAGAGGACTGGCAATGGCAAGCTTTGATTCTGAATACCAGTGCAGCCATAACTGCAGAGTTATATGAACAGATTGGTATCCCTAGATCGAACTTCCAAGCATATGCGTGTATCAGACTTAAAACTTAACACTGTGACTGTGATGCTATTTATTAGCTTTTCAGATGTGAGCTGAAGGATATGTGTGAGAAGGAATGAACCAGTGTTTACCCAGTGTTAATCAAACAGCGTTCCAGATGGCCTAAGAGGCTTCCACTGATAAACATAAATGCTCTTCAGCAGTGTGATATAATTGGAAAAGGCTAAGTGTCAGTTCATATTAGGGAAGAATTTGACCTGACGGAGAATACTAGCATAAGTTTTGTGTACAGCCGGCCAAATTAACCTAAGTGGCTGTTTTAATGGAGGCCTGTAAGTGAGTAAGGGGGTTTCAGTTTTAAAAGGAGAGACTTAGGATTCTGACAGACAGGCACTCTCAGACCTAGAAGCAACATGTCCTTCTGCCCACCAACTCCCCATTCTACCCTTCTGCCAGGCAGGCTGGAAGAAGGGAGGAGGTTCCCCTGACTGGGCTGCTTCAGTTCACTCACTGGCATCTTAGCCCAAACCACCAAGGAATGTGACTTTGTGCTAATACGCAAGAGGAACGGCGGTACCTGAAATACAGTGACCCATTTCCTTCTGCCACCTGTACAACCCTACTCACGATAATCTGCAGTGAAAGGCAGAAAAGGCAGTGGGGGGCCAAAAGGCTCTGGACTTGCAGCTGCTGGTTGCTCCAAGTGTGCATGCCTCAGTGGCCCAGGTCCAGACTTGTTATGGGAACTTCAGTGTGGAGCTCTGAAATACTGAGATCTGGCTCAAAGAGATGTGGTTCACTCACCCAGCATTTTCAGATAGATCAGATTTCCTGACAGATTTCATTCACTAACCACACCATCTAGACAGTCCTTCTCCCTACCCCCCTGCCCCAGACAACCATCAGAGCCAGACAACTACTGGGAAAGGGGGATTATCTTGAAGGGGAAAGGTGCCTCTTCCCCCGCCGCCCAAGCAGTACAGACCACACTTTTTTTTTTTTTCCAGGATAAGGATTTCAGGTTGAATACAGCATTATAATCTGGGGTTTCAGTAAGTAATAAAAGTATGCATGAGCAAAGACAAAATCCTGCCCAAAGAACAGAAAATCTGAAAAAGAAAGGTGCAGTCACAGTGGACAATCACTTCTCCTTGGCTAACAATTCCATAATTATGGAATTACCTCCTAGAAAACCAAAGATCTCACCATCTACTTATAGTGAATGATCAGATACATCTCTGCACATTAGTAGCTGGAAAATAAATAATAAGAGTTGGGAACATCAAGAGGAGCTCTGATGTCAAACAGGAGCTGGTGATGCAAGGTTAAGCAAGACACAGCTATTTTAAGGAATTATTTAGAAGAAGAAGAGAGTCATCACTGCTGCTTGAATCTCTTTGAATTAAGGAGTATTGACACCACTTCAAACACCCTAGGTTTGAATAGAGGTGTCTGGACAAGGTCATCAGCTCATTAGCATATTGCAGTGGCAGCTAGGGCCACTCGGTGGTGATCCCTTGCTTGCTAGAGAATCAGAAGACAATAAAGAAATGCCAAGCACCTGAAGGGACCCATATGCATGCCTGGCTGAGGGCATGTTTGTATCGAGAATGATAAGGAAGAAGGGGAAACGCAAAACCTCTTGTTTCCCCCTTATTTTTCAAAAAGATGAACTGATATGGCAATCAAAACCACATTCACACCAGTGGGCTACGAGAGAAGGCAGTCAACAGCCCCACACCGTCCCCAGCTGTAGGTGCTGCAGGAAATCAGATAAAGGCCATTTCCACCATGCTGTAACCACCTCTCCCTTGGAACCTGCCTTTCCCTCTGTACCAAGAATTATGTGCTGTTGGAAGAGGGAAGACTTCCCCCTCCCTTTTGTTCTCATTTTGGTCCTTAGGGCATGTGGGATTTATTTGATTTTTGTTTTGTTCTCAGAAGAACAAGAATATTTCGTTTTTATAGAGGTACCATTTTTTTCTATCTGCTCGTTTCAACAGCCTTCTGGGTGTCTCTCTTCTGTCCCACCTTCCACCATCACACTACTGGATAGGAAGCAGAGAGCTGAAGGGAAGGTAGCCTGTTAGATTTCTCACAGTAGATTTTTATCATTACAGCCTATAGGGCCAACAATGTGAGTTCAGTTGTCTCTAATTTTGATGTATTTTTAACAAGAGCCTTTAAAAAAAAACAAGGAAGAGAAACTTGATTCCAGTCAAGTCACGTGGAAGCTTGTCCATTCCTTATGTATCACTTAGTCCATTCCTAATGAACCACTGAAGACCATTTTCTCTTCAGTAAAAATTTTTCAATTTCCAATTGGGAAGTAGTTAGATTCCACTTTGTATTACATTTTAAATTCAGACCAATGTACTACTTAGTACTTAGATATAAATGGGTTCCATCCTGAATAAAGGTCCAGAGAAAAGCCTATGTACCACTGAAGTTTCATGTGAACATTTTTCATGTTTGACTCTGTGTGATATTCATTTTTGCAAACTCTTTTGAGAAGATTCCCATGGCACTGTGACAGGAGGAGGGGATCACTTATACATGTCGATATCTCCCAAACATGCATTTCTCAGCTGACAACAAAAAAAAGGAGGTTTGAACGCTGCGTGCACAACAGACCCGCCAGCCTACAGAAAGTATCCAACTGCCGATGATCTTTCCCACAACTGACTTTCTGACAATGAAGATACTTTCTTCAGTCTGTTGGGACTGAATTCAGCCCTTAGGGACATTACTAACGTCAAAGGAAAATACTTACACAAACACCAAAGAAAGGGTAAAGCCTGTGTTGATTTTGGTTAAAAACAGTTTTACAGGAGTGTGTAAAACAGTTCAAGTCAGTTGGAAAAGCTGTCAGGGCATAGTTTTAAAAGACCCTAATTTAAACAAAATATTCCAGGGACACTTTGATCTTATTTAACAAGGCAGGCACAATTTCTTTACTTCTGGGGTAAATATACAGTGAGCTTAATGTGAACAAATCCATCTGGCAGTTCCTCAAATTCTCATTTCAGGTCTAACACACAAATGCAGATAAAATCTAATTTTATATTCAACAATGTGCATGGAGAAAGCTCTGCTAATGATTATGAGAGTAGGGAAGGTGGTCCATAAAATATTGAAAGGTTTTAATGGAGTTTTTGAATTAATTGATTTCCTTCTTTTCCTTTATGATACAGAAGACTGACAAAATTATTGATTACTGATGATGACATGCATCCATTTACTAAAAGTAGGAAGCTAAATGCGGAGTTGGAACATTTGGAGAGTCAGGCATCAAAAAACACTGCAAAAATTTACTGACTCTTACTTATAATAATCCTTTTGTACTTTCTCTATAGGCACTTAATCTTTCTTGCACTGTCTGGGGAGATCCTACCCCAGAGGTCTCATGGCTGAAGAATGAAAAAGCATTTGTATCAGATGCTAATTGCATCCTGAAATTTGAATCTGGAAAAAACGTCAGCTTTACCATTTCTACTGTGTCCACACTCGACTCTGGGAAATACAGCATTGTGGTGAAGAACAAGTACGGCACAGAGACGAGCGACGTCACTGTAAGTGTGTTCATACCTGAGGAAGAGAGACAGTCTGAGCAACAGAAAAAGAAAGAAGATAAGAAAACAAAAGCGTGAATTTAAGACTAGAAAACAGAAGTATGGGGGAGGTTTTGAATGATAGGCGACATAATCTGTGTGTGTAAATGGCTTTCTGCGTTAGCAGGCAGCCTTGGATTTTTCCATTCACTTCACTTTTGGTTCTAATACACTTAATTGTGCCAGGGAAAACAGGGCCTTTCCTTAACGGTTTCTTACTGCTAACTTCGCAGAACTTGGCTGTAGCATCTTCAGCCAGGCCAAATGCATGCTGGCTGTAAACACAGGTCCACCGTTTGACCCTCCTCCTGGAGCATTTGACCCCACAACAAAAATGGAAAGGTGAAGAATCGTTTCAGTGGAGGCAACTGATGAGGTAGATGGAAAGATAAAAAATGATTGAGGCATTTTTGAGCAGCAGGTTAGTTTTGTTCCAACTTTGGTAAAGTAGCATAGACAGAATGTGTTAGAGAATTAGATGATGGAGAAATTAGTGCTGGGGTCTACATTAAGGCCCCTTTTTATTGCTGTGTTAATCTAGAGAGGCCTTAATATGGGTGTTATTTACATCCATAAGTGCTGTTTAATCTGCCCAATTGGGGTAAAAGTACTGTAACATAAATGAAAATCAGGCTTAGGAGGCCAGAACACTAAGGGGTGTGTGTGTGTCCGCAAAAATGTATGAACTCTCCTCTGTGTTCACAAATAAACTGAATTCACTTCTTTCCTTCCGTCACAAGCTGTTTCACTGTGTCTTGTTTTACTAGTCACGGCTCTGGTAGTTGCGCACAGCGTCTTAATGCTTTCACCACTGTAATTGCCTCTAGCTTCCCTTTAGGTCCCTGTTAATCTTCACTTCACTGTTCATGACAAAACCCACTATGGCATCTCTTCGCACCTTTCTGTCCAGACCTTCACCACTTCACATCTCAACTCAACAAGGTATTTTTGCAAATTCTGGCACAGGAGTAGTCTCATGCAATTCAGTGGACCTGCTCATGAATTTTGATTTAAGGGTGTTAGGTAAGTATTTCATTAGAGTGAGACCTCAGTTAATTTCATCCCGACTTAACACTGGAGATCAGAAATAACATATTTTGTCAAGATCTTTTAAAGCTACAAGAACCTTCACTGGAACACAGAAAAAAAAAGTGGGTTTTTTTCCAGATAAAAACATTTCAGACAAAAAAACCCCATTTGTTCAGATCTGGGAGCACATTTAAATAGATTAAAAACTATATGTCAGCTATATTACAATGCTACTGTATTATTAGCTGAGGAAGAGCAACAGAATGTACATATATGTCTATTCTGCTGGCCATATATATGATATACACATGTGATATGATATATATCATATCATATATCAGCCCAGTTGCTAATTAGGAGAGCAATGTGCCATATTAATAATTCTTTTCATTACTAGTCTCACAACAGCACAATTCTTCACATCAAAATCTAAAGAACTAATGTATGTATTTTCAGTATAAGCATGATCTGTGTGCACCTTCCACATACTTTCTCTGGTCGTTTTTAGCTACTGTGACCGCAGAAATAGCGCTGTTTCCCAGGCACTCATGCTGCTGCGGTATTGGCATGTCTGTGAGGATACCACTAGTAAGTGCTGTATGGTTAGTGCTCACTTAAACCCTCGCCGTCTGAGGTTTACAGCTAACCTTAAAGGCAAATTGGAAGCATGAGGAAATTCTTAATGGCTCAGGTAATGAGAGATTCAACAGCATTATCAGTGGTGCAAGTGGTGATTTTTGCAATTTTTTAATGGTTTTTTTAAAATCAGTTATGATTTAAATGATGATTACGACCTTAACGATTAAAAAAAATACCAGATCAGATTTAGATTAGATTTATGACCTACCAAAATGTTAGCGTGTGCTTAGCTTTATGCATGAATAGTACCACTGGTTTCAAGGAACACATTAAGTTTATCTGATCTAAATCTTTTTTCTTCTAGAATAGACTTCATATTACAGGGATTTTTAACATGAAATTATGTAAAACTAATGTGTGTTCAGCATTTCACATGAACAATGTATGTGTTCACACAGCCGTATCTCCTAAAATAGTTAAAATTCAAGTATCAAACTTGATGACATTATTGGAATTTTAAGGTTTAATCGTGTAATTATGTACATTAATGAATCAATATCTGTTATAAAAAAAGTTCAGTCTATTTAGTCACAATAGCTGCATATCAGACAAAGTAAAACAGCTTAACCTTTGAAACTCAAAGTCTCAAATCATGAGACTATCTGTAATTTGAGATACAGCAAGCTTTCTGAGTTTAAAGATCTAGTGTCAAATTATTTGATAATTTTACTCGGTATGACAAGAAGCCACTTCAAGGATGACAAGCGGGTCACTCCATCTTGGTCCCAGGACATACGCCTTAAAAGCAACAGTGTTACCTCTCTTCCATCCTCCAAAGTGCAAACAAGAATATGACTTGCTCTTCGCAATACCTGATAACTACAGTTTATCACTTAGCATTAGCGTATTTTTAACCATGATTGCATTTTGGCAGCAGTTTATTTCTACTACTTTATCTTCAAAAATATGTCCCCCTGCCTCCCTCCTTTTGGCAGAACTGCCAGGGAGTACAAGTGGGACATCTCCCAGATAATAGGCTGGATCCTGCTCCTCTTTGCTTCGGAAGATGTAGGTGTCCCTGAAAGTTAGAGTAATAGCTGCCAGGGATTCAGTTATGGTGGTTTCAGACTGAATTTGTGATGCATCCACACTTCTCGCTTGTGTGCTTTTTGTTCTTGCTTTGCCGCAGGTGATTGTGATTTCTGTGTCAGGACAGACTGACACAGTCCGAGGACATGATCAAAATAATATAACTGTATCTAAAAAGAAAAAAACGATGACAGCAAGCAAACGGAAGGAAGGGGAAAAGAAAGGTAAGACCCTTTATGGTCTTCTGCAATGAAAATTTTTTTAAACATTCTGCAGTTAATAATCTGTGCCAATCAGTGTTTCTCAGGTCCCAAACAATCAAGTTCACAGTATGTATGCTTTTAATCAACAACAAATGTAAAGCATGAATTGCCAGGTTAAGCCTCAGTGAAAGAGATTTAAATTTTTAAATCACTTTTCCCCTGGGCTGTGAGATCTCACCTGGCTCATACAAGTTTTTTAAGCCATAATAAATACTTTCAAATTTCTGAATGCGGAGGAAAGACCTCCTAAGCTCAGATGGTGTTATGTTCCAAAGCGAGACTCCTTTCAGCAGCTAGACGTTTGACACTTAACCAAAAAAAGGGCCTTGGTAATTAAGGGACCCTAAATGCCCAAGTGTTTAGAAAACCCTGATCATATAGTCGCTATTTGAGATCAATCAATTATTCTCTCTTAGTTTTATGCCCATATCGAATGGTAAAATTTGAATTATAAGTGACCATTTTTTGGTCCAATTTAGAGACATGGTGGAAAATTAAAAGCTCTTTGGTGATTCAGCATTCTTGTATATTACAGATTTTTACTGTTCTTTTAGACCCTTAATATATAATTGCTACTTGGACATTGCTTTATTCTTCACAATTACAACTCCCTCATGTAGAGCATTATAGCTCCAAATAAGGCTTAAATCTCAATGTTATCAGAACATCTGTTACATAGTTTTGCCTAAGTATTCTTCTTTGTATACAGAGTGTATACACGTTAAATCATTGCTGACAGAACATTTTATACTCTTATTTCCCTCCCCTTTCTGCTCCTAAGGCAAGAACAAATATTTAACTGCGTTTCTCTCCTCTCTTGCCTTACTGGTATGTGTAGCTTAGGCATTTCTGCACGGTCCTGTAAATAAGATGACTTACATGAGAAACAATGATTTACGTCTGTAAATGTTTTGCAGGTTCTACCTCTTAATCTTTTTAATTAGAGACCATAAAGACTTGGGCTTGCTTTTGGCACTGTAAAAGGTAGTAACGTTATTTGTGATACTGAATCTCTTTATGTGGGTTTGGGAAGAGGAAAAGAACATGATAAGGTCATAACCAATGTGAAAGCAAAATCTTACTCTACATGCCTCTGTGTTGCTGAGCATAGTAAATACAAAGGAAATTCTATTACTTCTCCTGAATCAGATTTTATTAAGCCACATGTAGAAGAAATTATTGCTACAGAAGAGACACCTGATCCAACTGAAATCCCCGCTGTGGAAACAGGAAAGGATATACAAAACAACCAGCAAGCAGCAAAGAAGACCGACAGAAAGGCAGCAGTAGCAGAAACGGTTCCTCAGCCCACAGAAGGCTTGGATAGGCAGGGAAAGAAACCACTGGAAAAAAAGCCTTGAGTAAACCCTCCTGTTCTTGAAGAAAGAATGTGATCTTGTTATGATCTAGATAATAAATTCAAGCTGAATGGGTGGTAGACTAGCCATAACATTTTAACACAGAAGTTTATTAGTGGTTTTTTTAAAACATTTGTAATACTTCATAACTTTAAATGCATAGTAGATGGGCACTTATGTCTCAGTATGAGCCTAGCTGCACTGCAGTAATTTCTAAGTATCTTAACAATAATCCATGTACTGACAAGGTGATTTTAATTACTAAAGAGAGTCCATAAGCAGAGTTCATCAGAGCGAATCCTGTCTAGAACTGACATATTTACTACTTTGTAACAGAATGTTGGTATCAGTTATGTGGATCTGTTAATTGGTATTTGCAGGCCACCACAGCTTGAGGCAGACCCCGCTTGCTTTCTCAAGGAAACCATACGCACAGTCCTTAATGCCGTGTGAGCTCTACTTTTCACCATGACCAATTTGGCCACACGGGAAGATCTCCAGAAACAGAACCATCTCCTATGGATGCAGGGGAGCCATAAGTAGGTTTTCTTTTGATGCAAGTCTCTTTCGTGCAAACCTGTTTCACCAAGGGGATCAGGATGACATCTGGCCATTTCTTAACCGCTGAGACGCACAGGACTGCTTTTCAGTCCTCTCCACCTCCCTCGTGGCCTTGGTGAGGTACTGTGGGTATAGCATTAACCCATAAAGTATCAGCTGC